ACGATCAAATGACAACGCAAAATCTTTGTAGTGCTACATGACCTTGACAGATCTTCAAGGTCACCCGTCACATAAATGCTTTTTTTTTTGCTACTAATATACAATATTTCCTCTGATATGTCTCGGGGCTTTCCATGGCCACTATACTTGATGGTTGTAGGCCACTAATTTAAAGTTTAGTTTGACATTATTTATTGCACATTTTTCCACTTATTTCCGCATAGTATAAAGGAGGAACCAAAAGCAAGGCTTCAATAAGAAGATTCTTGCTATGTTCTGTTAAGAATCGTTATGAATTTGAATCTGTAGGGACCACCGATATTCGTTATTCATTTTTTGTTAATTTTTCCTCAAACAGTTAGCAGTCAGCCAATCATCCGAACTTCTATCAGATTGACTTTTTCTTTCTTCGTTACTTGAGTTAGTACCTGTCATTTCACTTCAGCCTAGCCCGCCAACATTTGGGGTAAGACTTTAAATAGCTCTTGTTATCTATTGTTATATCCATATCATTTGTAATACAGGGTGCGCCAGCGAAACTTACTTTCTTGCAAAAAATTCCTGTGCGGTTAGTTGGTCGGGTAGAGGGGCGAGAGGGAGTGCATCTGAAGGGGAAAATTCCCAAGTTTGTTTCTCAAAGTTTCTCAAATAAATTTGCTGTTGTGCAATTAACTGAACGCGATTTTGTTGCCCGTCAAAATGCATTTGAAATGCTGGTTAACAATCTGCCTGAAGACGCGGTCTTTTTTTCAGTGACGAGGCTCACTTCCACATTTCCGGCTGCGTCAGCAAGCAAAACCTGCGTTATTGGTGTGGTGTAAATCTATGGGAGCTTCACCAGAAGCCACTTAACTGTGAGCGAGTTACTGTCTGGTGTGCGATGTTGGTAATGGGAATAATTGGTCCTTATTTTTTTGAAGAAAACAAATGCGCAGTTACCGTTAATGGAGCTCGTTACAGGAACATGATCGAGGAATTTTTTATTCCAAGACTCGAAGAAATGAACGTTAGGAACGTGTGGTTTCAGCAAGATGGAGCCACAACACACACAGCACGAGACTCAATGAATTTGTTGCGACAACATTTATCAGACCGCCTCAGCTCTCTCAGAGGCGATCTCCAATGGCTGCCACGCTCTCCAGATTTGACTCCATGCGATTTCTTTTTATGGGGATATTTGAAATTTCTGGTTTATGTCGATCGACCACGGACCATAGAACAACATTCGCGACGTCATTGCCAAAATACCTATTGATATGCTGCATAGAGTGGAAACCATTATAAAAAAGCGACTTCATTAGTTTATGCGCAATGGAGGCCGTCATTTATGAGATTTAATTTTCAAAACTGTATGAAAAAAAATTTGGGATACTGTTTTCTCGAATAAAAAAAATTTCAAAACGATAACTGAAGTACTTTTGTTTTAATTGACCTTTCAAATAAGTAAGTTTCTGTGGCGCACCCTGTATTTCTTGTCTAGTATTCTTCTTTTAAACGTGTAATTTAAAACATGTTATGCAGTTAGCCTTATCAGAGTTTGTATATCCAACAGGTGCAAAATTTACTTTACTCACAAATACGCCTGTTCATAACATCCTCTGAGTTAATTACTCGTAGGTTTCCCTGCTCGTATTTTTGTTAATTAATATTGCGTATAGCTGTACCGTTAGCTTTCCCTGCTCGCATTCCCCTTATATAGCGTATAGCGGACCGGTATACCCGCTATTAATCTAGTCTACCATCGCATCATAAATAAATCTATTATCCCTATAATACATGTTAACTAAAGAGGTAAGAGATACAAAGGATTATTCCTGAATACACATCATACTTATTGTTATATGGCAATGGTGTATTATAAATGAAATTTGGGAATTTATGCAAAATGTTCGTTTTGCTTCTTTCGCTCTCTTAAATAATTAGCTGATTTTCAACTAATTGAGTTTGCTTTGTATATCATTAGCATCGCAGCGGAGGATCTCGAAAATTTTCGAATGTTTTGGTTTAGCTGTGGTTTGAGGCATCACTTTGGTTTGGTTTAGGGCATCACTAGCTAGATTTTAAGGACGGGGGAGGCCAAGCCCTCAGGTTTTAAGATCGGGGTGAACTTGGCCATCTGAGGCTATATAATGATATAATATGAGTTAGTAATGGCTGCTTGTAAGAATATATATTTCAATTTATACTCAGGCCAGATTATATTGAGCTTATGCGGGCAATTTGACTGTTAAAAATGTTTTTTTGATGTGTGAATATAAAATTATTAGGGGCACAAGAAATTGTCGAATGTCATCTATTATAGTTTATTTGTCTCTGCCATAAACACCGTCTTTTTGCCGCTTCTCAAGGTGTCGGCATGGAGGTAAAGTTAATGATAACCTTACGTATAACAATCACTTAATTTGAGCCTACGCGGTCGCAACTTGAAAAATTGGTGATGGTCTCATGTTCCCTGTCGTACCCGTATCATCGCTGAAGATATTACCGCTACAGACTTAGAATAGAATAGAAGTGTCGGCACTGAAGAAATAAGCCCATGGCCTGTTGCCGATTCTTTAATCCGGTGGCCAGGAAGAAGAAAGGGAAATGGAAAGGACAGTAGGAGATGGAAAGGCGCATTGCGCATGTTTTGGTGGGTTGTAGGTGAGTGGGGTCTGTTTGGGGTTGGTAGAGAGGGGACCCGTCAGGGTTTTTGATGGTTTATGCAGGGGGGTAATGAGGAGGCGGTGGTTCTTTATTTACATTATTTTACATAGAACAGAATAGAATAGAAGTGTCGGCATTGAAGAAATATGCCCATGGCCTGTTGCCGATTCTTGAACTTTTCGTGACTTGATTCACAAGGGATTCCTTTGGAACCCGATCTTTCCATAACTGGCGATTGATTGAGATAGCTGCTGGACTTATTGCCTGGTCCGTAATTTGCTAGGCATTTTAAGACTAAACATATGCTCCTGCATAGCTTCGTCTAGTCTGTTCTTGAAGGCGTTCATACTCGGAGAGTCAACGATGCTATCAGGGAGGCTGTTCCATATATCGGTGACTCGAAGCGAGAAGAAATGTTGTCGCATAGATGTGTTACAACGCAGTTTTTAGTTATAGCCGTGGCCCCTGGCGTTGGTTCTTGCTTCAAATTCTGGTAATCCTTCTGTGACCTTGTATAAGCCATGAGTATACTTGTATACTTCAATTAATGAGTTCCCCACGCAGTCGTCGATAACTGACTAAACAGAGGCGTGAAAGCTTCATAAGCTTTAATCTTTCCTCATAGGACTTGCTTTTCACGCCCGGAATTATCCTTGTTGCACGTCGTTGAACACTCTCTATTAAATTTTTGTCCTTTTCAAGTTTCGGTGACCACACGACGTTTCCAAACTCTAGGTTCGGGCGCACGACAGCAACAAACAACTGCTTCATCGTTTCACCCGAGAACGCTTCCTTGTGGCACGCCGCTGCGCCCTGGAGCCCAGTCTGATACGGACCCATTAATACTGACACGTTGGCGTCTCCCTACTAGAAAATCTCTGATCCATTTGAGTACATTGCTGTCAATTCCCAAAGACAGCAATTTCCGCAACAGCCGCTCATGAGGGACACTGTCAAATGCCTAGGCAAAATCGAGGTACAATGCATCCACTGGTTCCCTCTCGTCCAGCAGGCGAGTCCAATCGCTCAAAGTAGACAATAGGTTAGTGGTGCAGGATCTCCCGGCAATAAAGCCATGTTGACAGTCTGATAGGAGATCCTTCTATTAATATCTCATAACTTGTCAACATGTCTCAAAACTGGCCTGCAACCGGGACGGCATTCATTGGCCTAAATGTAATCATAAGCCTATCCGCACTTGCAGGTTGTTGTTCGCGTCCCGCATCAATTGTGGTAAACTCGCATCAAAATTTTAATAGTTTTTATTGCCAGCCGGAGCACATAGTTTTCGCTCATGCTCAAGATGAGCTCAGTTGAATTTATCCGTCTATCAACATCGGCGGTTTGATCTTTCCTTCAATCTGAGTCCGCCTTCGCCCCATGTGACCAAAATCGTTCCGGAGTTACCGAAACTTTATTGCTCTCATGAATTTACAGAGTTGGGTCCATGTCTCGCATTCATAATCATTCCAACTTTAGATTTCTAACTTCAACTGCAATTATGAATAGACGTAATCTAAAAAAAAGTTGTTGTAAAATAGCAAAACTAAAGCTCTCCAACGTTTAAAGACTATTTGAAGTCGCAGAAGACAGGCGATGACCCTGAAATACCTCCTTTATCGCAAGTCAATCTTTAGCAGCGGCAGAAGACGATGAAGTTAATTTCTGGACCCGCCTGGCTATCCGACTGAAATCAGAGGCTGGTTATTAAATATTTTCTCAACTTTATAAAATTTTCCAATGTCCTGAGTTTGTGACGAGAAGTTGTCTGTTCGAGTTATACCGAGACTCCTAGCAGCCTGAGATTTGCGCTCTAACTCCTGGACGGGAGGCCCTGGGCAGAAGCCTACAGGAAGTCTGATCAGTGAATGCACAAATAAAATTAAGCATGTTTCTTTTGTTCACATCAGGTACTGGTCCTCGATTGCACCACTTTTGGACTCTGCACAAACACGCGAACCATCAGGTTGCTGTTATTTACGACTAAAAAGTTATTCTGAGTTCACGCATGCTCCTTGTATCCAATAAATTGTATATAAATTATAATTCAACATACTTAAAGTTTGCTTCCGATTGCCACATCAATGACTCTTGTGTGGATAACGGTTGGGAAGTTGGGAAAATTATTTTGATAGAACCCGTCAGAGTGCGTTTATAGGGCTATAATACTCAATGTGAAAAGGATCTATAATTTAAAATAGAAATTTAAGCTACATCTTAAATCACAATCTAACGTACATATGCCTATATCTATTTCTGTTTGTACAGCGAATTAAAGTGCAATCTTGTGCATGGATAAACAAACAATGTTTGTGGTTTTCAATTGCAATACAGTTGAAAAAACGAAACGACAATTATGCAAGCTCCACCTATTTGAATTTAATTTCAAATACCTTACGCCCAGCAATTACGCAGCACTTTTCAGATTTACATAGAATTACCATATAGTTTTGATTTGAAAATTTACATTATGAACAATCTTGATGGATTGAACAAGGCACGGTGATTAATTCTGATAGTTTTTTAGAACAATTTTTTCTTAGGCATAACATGAGTCACAGTTTAGGCAGGAGGTAGAATAAAGCTGCTGAAGCTCCTAACTGGCAAGTTCGTGTTGATGAAGCGCGACCCGTCGATGCTGATGCTCACGCTCTCCACAGCGTCAGACCTGAGCACAAGCAATCGATTAATATATAATAAAGATTGTGTTTTCAGAATACTGTAATCATTACACATTACTGCTAAAATAGGCGGAAAAGTCATTATAAGTAACAATAAATGAGCATAGCAAGAAAGGCTGAAGGCTCACATGCTGAGGACGACGACAGCGACTGAGCCATCCGGCCGGGTGACGGCCGCCGCCTTCAGAGAGTCGCTGACGACGGTGTCGACGCGTGTGCTGCCGCGCGTGAAGAACTTGCTGACGTGCGCCACCGCGTAGTGCAGAGGTTCTTTGTAGAACTCGTCAGCCGTCTAAACACGGAAATAAACTCGTTAATTTCAAGTTTTGAGAATTTAATTACAACGGATGGTATATGGTCCAAGTTTTCCTCAGGGATTCACAGCACCAATGAACAGCCAACATTGGCCTCTCTGATTTCTCATTAGTATGTGCAATTTTATTATACTAAATGTGTCGTGTTTCATTTTGACTGACGGCGTTTACGATGATTTGGGAATCTAATGCTCCTCCTGTATAGCAGGGACCTCCAGCCTCATCCAAAGCCATGTTCCAGTCCACCCAACCCGCAACGTAGTTGTTGAGGTTCTGAACGAAGTTGAGTAATTGTCAGGAAACAAAAAATTATCCTCTAGCTTCGTTGTTTATAGAGTTTTGTTGCCAAAAAACTTATTAATAATGGTTTTGTTATAATTTTGAAATTACCAGGATTGGTCTCAGAACAGATTTTTCAACACAATCACTTACTTCCAGAATATCAAACAAGTAGCGTTCACCCCTAAGCCAGTCGCCCAAATAAACGCTGTCCGGGTTCAGCTCGCGCACACCTTGCGAGTAGACGAACAAAGGTAAAGTTGTTTTTTGTCCATCGATTAATGTTAAATCGATATAACGCATAAATTTTGAGTTAATTATAAAAAATCAGTGAAGTGTAGGTTATCCAAAGTAGAAGCTCAAAAATACTAAAAATTACGAGAAAGAGAAACTATTATTCATGGAAGGAAATTGTCATGAATAGAAGGGTTTGGTGATTAATACCGTTGACTTTCATGCCTCATAAGCAAAATTGTTTCATCCGTCAATACTACGCGTTTTCAACTTGGGAGTTGACGATCTCAAATACTTGAAGTCTTGGTTTTTTATGCGGCGAGGTTTCTTTATAAATACTGAATTGAACTTTCAGTTCACCCAGGCGATATACTATGGAGAATTAGGCTATATATGCTTTAACTCATTCTTTTCCTAAAATTTTCTCAAGTATTTCGGCTAATGTACTGAATTTTATCGCCTTCAAATGATCAAAGATCATAATAATATTATGCTCCGTTTTGGTGTCCTGCAGTTTTGTTAGGTAAAAGAAAACAGAATGTGTTATGCTGACCTGTGCTCGCTTCAGTCAGCAACAGGAAATTGGTGGGGTCTAGGTCCCTTGTCTGCAGCAGCACGTCGGGGGAGTAGTGGTCGTCTTCATACCAATGAACAGCAACACCTGAGATGTACTTGCTACACTCGGGATCACTCAGTATCTGTACATTAACGAAATTCAACTCGATAAGATTAATGCTGCTAACAGTTGCGAGCAAAATATGCGAGAATTGTGTTATACAATGTAAGAAATGTGTGTCAAGGAATACATTCTCGTTGATGAATGTTGTAATGCGTATGGTATCAATTAAATGGAAGTAGCACATTTAATTCACTAAATATAGACATGTAGATTTCATTGTAACAGAGAAAGTAAATGAATTAGTTGTAGCACCAGTAAAAACAAATTATATACACGGTCTGACTGACTGGCTCAACATAGTAGGGCAACTTGTCTCTGTTGAAATCGAACACCATCAACTTTTTATCAGAGTAGCCAGCAGCCTCGAGGGTGGGTCCTAAGAAGTCTCGGATGTAGTCCCTCATGTCTTCAGGAAGCCACTTGCAGGCATTAATGGTCCATTCCTGAGAAAAATATATTCGTTGTTATCACCGTGAGGAAAAGCATCCGACTGCTCATCGTTGTTTAACAATCGATCGTTATTCGGGCTGGAGTCAGATATTTATAGGATAACATAATGGACTCCTTTGCTCGAATAACCATAACGTAGATTTGCATTTTAAAAAGGTTATCATCTTTCTTCTTATGTAAATCAATGTCTTATCATAATTTAATCATCATTTATTTAATGGTTATTTAATGATATAGGGTTTCTTATGATCATTTTTCAATGAATATTTGATATTGCCATGCTTCAGCAAAGTGCAGCAAGTTCATCTCAGATGTTGCTGTTCATTGGTATGAAAACCACCACTTCTCCCCCGACGTGCTGCTGCTGATGATTGAGGGACCTAGACCCGACGTTATATGCTGAGCCTTATATATTTGAGGCTTGGATAAGTCCCTACTGCATTAACGTTGGATAAAATGATGTCTATTCCAGTTGGCAAGCTGGAATTGTCACTCACCTAAAAGTTTATAATAAGTGTATATATAATGTATCTATACATATCGCAGGTTCTTATACTTGTATACTTTCTCACTCACCAATTCAGTATCTAACGGCTCATTCTGGGGTGTTAAACCCCAAACTGGGATCCCGGCCGCCTCATAAGCCTCAATCCATCTGCAGAAAAATTAAGTGAAGCTTTCATATATATTCACTTAGGTGCCAATTCCACAACATCTGTGTTCAGCCTTAATTACGAATTGAATAATTTAAAGTATTGAGGTTAGGGAACATCACGTTAGAGAAAATCTCCAGGCCAAATAATCATGTTGTAGTAGGGAAACATTTTCTGCATGGATTTCTTAATCGATGCAGGATCTGTGCACTCGACTTAAATTAAACTTAATTTCCAGAGACCGAAGGACTGTCTATTTTTATTAATTCTCGTGTCTCACTTGGCCATGTAGTTGGCGTACGGCTGCCAGTTTTCAGGTAAGAGGACTCCAAGACCAGTGATTTCTCCAGTACTTTTCATCCACGCCGGAGGGGACCACGGTGATCCAAATATATATATCTCGGAACTACTGAGCTCCATTGCTCTCAGGATGTTTGGGATCTTGATGGAAAAATCAGATGCAATTAGAACATTGATAAAATAAAAAGGAATTCTTTACCGTTCGAAAAAATTATATAAACTAGTGACGAAAATTAAATTGATTGAACGATTTAGTCCTTAGACAAGAACGCATTATAGCTCAAATGGTTAAAAATGTCAACGTTTTAAAATGAATTCATCACTTTGTCGTTAGTATCTTCAGGAGCGAGGGCCCAGAATTCGAGATCTACGTCGCCCTCTACATCGTCGAGAGTGTAGGGGCGGGTCGAGAAGTCAGAGCCTCCAATGGTTACTCTGCACACGGAGAACTCCGAGCCTTCGGGAGCGAAGTACGACCTGGGAGAAATGGTTGGATGTTCACTTATTCAGCTTTATATGTCCATATAATAGCGTGCAGTTCGTATATATCACCCTTGAAATTATCTGTATTATTCAGCTTCAAAGCAAATAAATGTGATAATTGTCAAGTCATTGTCCCTAATTAATTTAAGGATTCAGCAAAAAAAATTAAAGTCCAGATAAAAGCATTTAAAGCGAAATGTCCCGATAATTAACTTATATTCGATGAGTGTTCTGGACCAAACCTCAGTGCGTTGTCGCGTGTGGCAACCGACAAAGTGTTTAAGTTGAGGGCTGCCGCATCTGAGAATGAAGACCCGAAACCAACGATAGTCTGGTACTGAGTTGTAGTGTCAACGGTGATCAAAATGCCTCCTGGACCTGAAAAAAGTTTTAAACGCCGTATTATGGTCATTTTATCTCATGGATGGATATTAAACCACAATCATATACGAAAAATCATGAGCTTTGACAAGAGAAAAACAATCTATGAACTAAAATACAAACGGTAATCGACTCAGCTAGAGAGCGTAATTAATTCCCCACTTGAGAGATAATTCATACTCCTGCACCTCATTTCGATTTTCTGTAGAAAGATTTGAGGAATAGTTTTTCTCACGAACTTTAGTTATGTTTCTTGATGTTTCGGTTATTGATAGTAAAGGAAACCGACAAATGGCCAGACAAATAGGGTACCTTTCTTTACCTACAAATGCTCTTCTTTATCAAAACAGTTGCCTTATTTGAAATTTTAATGCTGCTTGAAGTCTGTTCGATTTCATTATCGTTTGTACATGACAACCATAAACGAGCATAGGATCATAGATCCAACCGGCGTTAAAATTTTCCGCGACTCTAGTGCCCATAGGCAAAAATCTTAGATCGTCTACTTAACTTACCTTGCGTTGCTTCTATGTTCCCAGATGTTGGCTCGAGACGCAAGGCGTCCCTGGTGCTGGTGTAGACGGTGTAGGTGCCAGCTGGTGGCACTGTCACCACACCAGCCTCGTCGCAGTAGGTGGCATTGCACACGCATACGAAACTGTCGTGATCGTAATCCCTTCGTGCACACTGACCTGAGAATAGCCTTCCGTTTAAGCTGCTGATAATTAACACCGGTACTCTATTATTTTGATAATAACTATCGGGAACCAAGTAATATCTTCTTGATTTCTAATTTCAGAAAATAGTACAAATTAACAAAATTGCAAATTAGGGACATATAAACTTCTTATCGCTACGAAAATTTATTGCGATAAACCGAATTTTAGCCAAATTTCCCACCATGAGCAAAATCAAGAAGTGTGAGGCTGGCAACGAGCAGCAGCAGGGACTTCATTATAGTAACCATGCCGGCGGTGGACAAACTGTTAGACGTCTGCCACTTCAGCATTTATACATTCTGGTAAGTACCTCTTATCCACGTGCAGCACCTGACGCATTGTGTGGATGATGCAACGTAGTCAAACCGTTCTTTATTCTTCTCTAGCGATTTTCTTTCATATTAAAATTTGATTTCGATAGTTTTTTTTTTTTTTTGCGTTTCCAACTGAACTCTGTAAGTGATTGGTAGTGAAATGTCTGAATAAGGAATTTCGCTCCCATTTCATTTATTTTTTTTTTCATTTTATGAACAAACGAACGAAACTGTTTAGCAACTTATTTTATGGTATCGATAGGAAGGAAATGAGCTTAATATTGTTGTAAGTTGAAATAATATTTTTCCATCATAATGAAAAGCAATATTGAGCAATTAGATGGATGTGAGTCTAGCGATAAATCAATCAGATGCCATGTCACAGGCTCAGATATGTCATGAGTGAATTTGTCGACCACAAAGGTTACAAAAGTTGAGGTTGTTATAAATTTATACAAGACTGCTTGTTTATCACTGTACTTGACTCGAGTATAAATTCTAATCGAATTATTTTTCACCTCACGCGTTTGTCACATGAGATAATAAAACACAATTGGCAAACTAGGAGTTTTTCCTCCTCAAAATCCTTGATGCAGTAATTCTGATGTCATTAGTTATTACGGGCAACTTAAATTTATAAACAAAAAAATACTTGCATGGGTTAGGGATGAAGGTTGTGTAAATAGAGGATATGATGCACAGATACTGGAATAAATTGCTGGGAGACGAGCCAGCTGCTGGCGATAGGAGATCAAATTTGTTGGTCATAGTACTGGGACGATCAAGACATAACTTGTTGTTGTGGTTTGAATAATAGCTTTGCTGTTTTGTTGCTGTTACTCAGAAAAAAATAGCGAAAAACAAAACAACTTGTCAGCAGGGCGTATATAGCCTCTAGAGAACTAGTCAGGATTCATATGAGCATGATGCCTAGTTGAACCTGATGGTCAGATACAAAGCTAAATATTTATAAGTCATTATACTGCATATTCTCCTCTTTTGAATACAGAAATATATTAAGACTTAATAGACTCAATTTCCGCGCGAGATAATTGATTTGTGCTAGCTTTTTGCGCACAACAATTACACATTCTTGAATACTTCTTTTTATCTACAAATTTAAGGTCGATTGAAAATATACATTATTTTTACTTCTAAAATCGATTTATTTTTTATCTGTTTTTGGTATTTTTGGAAATGAAATTTATGGTTTCATCATTTAGTTACAAGAGACAACAGAGAGATGTTTTAGAAACAACTATGAAGCGCAATTATATATCACTCGGTATTTTGAATGAAAATATGGAGGCCTAACACTATTAGCACACATGCATGTGTGAAAAAAAGAATGGCTGAATAGCTGCACAAAATCTGTATTTACAAATAAATAATTGATCGAGATTATTATTTAGAATTTCCATTAATTACCTGTTTGGCACTATTTGTGGAACATAGGTTTAGTCCAAGCCAATATTGTATGGGGCCCATTATTATATGTATTGGTGAACATCTGAAATTAATAATCAAAATGACATGTTGCAATAAAAAACGAAGGCGCATCCGAATTACCTTGTGTTGTAAGTACCTTAACCGGAATACTGTCAAACATGTTCCTGTGTAGTTTGAAGCAACATTGCAAGATTGCGAACATATAAAACCGCCGAAATAAACCTGTTATTTTCTTTTGAGGTGGCAGAGAAAATATTTGACACTAATTTTCAGAAACGAAGCCCAGCGTGGTTGAATTAATCGCTCTTGATCTACTGGGATGTGGACGATCACAAGATACGGTGAGAAGGGGGGTAAACGGCAGAAGAATTTGTAAGTTTTAAACGTGTAAGGAGTCAAGAGAAGTAAAAACAGTCTGATGTAACGTACCAAATGGACTGATCTCGATAAATTTCACTTGATTTTTAACAATTGAGTTCTTCAATGAACTTCATTCAATGAGTTCGTCACTGAAGAGATTTATTTGGATATTTTGATGATAATAAGTACTCTTAACATTAATTTTGTTCCCGCTATTTTGGACCAGACTTGAGCGTTCAGAGTGCCAAAAATAACTTTTTTTCGTCAAAAAGATTGCCGCATTTACTGATTTACTACTACTACTACCGAAAATGGTCATCTCAGGAAATATTGAAATTAATTTATGTAAATAATGTGCAAAATCTTTGATAAAGACAAATTTCTTACTGGCGTCAACTCATTCACAACGCTGCACGTCTCGGAATCAAGCAAGACCATGCATGGACGATGGCACAAAGGGTTTGATATTCTTGAACTGACTGGTTTCTGTCACTGAAAAGCGTGGTTGGCGTCTAAAGGGAACTAAAATGTAAGTTATATTTGTCTACGTTTATGACATAATGCGAAAGTACATAAGCATAGGAATCCTTTAGAATTTACATATTGATTTGGAAAGTGCTGGGTTGATGTACTGTTTTTTTACATTTATGGTTATCAAGAGGCTGTCGATGAATCGACAGGACAGTAATGTTAAGAGACTATAACAGATCTAATCTTATGGAAGCAGGAGAGCTAACCTCATCTAATACAGATCGGTCTTTATTGAGGCCCTATATTGACTGATCCTCCTACTGGTTCCTCGAAACGGTTATGTCAGCCTCAGACTATCTCACACAATGCAATGTATTTTGTGTGTAAGCAAGCAAACAGCAGGGACTGTCGCTGAAGAGTCTGTCAGCAAATTATATACCTAAAATACTGACGGTACATTAACATCAATTTCATTTTGTGTTTCAGCTTTTTGAGAGCAAAACACGTCTGATTTCAATTTAATATTACAGATGCTTCTTCTAACGGGAGTTTAAATAGTTCCCGCCCGCGATAATGCCATTTAGTCTCAAAAAATAATTTTTAAAATATATGAAGAGGTTTCTCCCTAAAATCAATGACAATCTAAGTTGCTACTCGGACGAATATTCTGGAAATTATATTGATTATTTACAGTTATCATTTGACCAATGAAGCTCGTTATGTAATGCCTTCATTCGTCAAGATGTTGCAATCCTTCAAATTCGCAAGTAAAATAGATAAAATGGAAGGTGGCACTTATAATTAATTTTCAAATGTTTGTTCGTAAATTCCGTCGGTTGTGCTAGACCTTTTGATCATAGAGAGGTAAGAGTGTTATTCGTTTACTAAATGTAGTCGCACTCTTGATTTACAAACAGCTCACTCGAAATGGATATACCTTTCAAAACTTGCATGGTAGCATCGCAATTTTTAAACACCTTTACGGCCTGAGACAACATGAGCGATTTTTAGGAAACAATTAAAAAATAAAATAAGTATTTCTGTAAAATATTTAATTTCGTACGATTAAAATTTAAATACGACCTCTGTCAGCAAATGGACCTCTGTCAGCAAATGTTATTTAAACATACGATTATATCAACATGTACGACGACAAAGCCAAGCGTTGCAAAAAGTAAATGTTCAATAAAATATGAAATTTCCGTTTCTATGAACTGAGGAAAAAAATTTGGATGAGTGAAGTTTTCATTTAATTTGTAACGTAACGAACATTACATCGACACGTTAAGCAGGAGGCACGACGAAGCTGCTGAAGCTCCTAACAGGAAGGTCCGTGTTGATGAAGCGCGACCCGTCAATGCTGAGGCTGACGCTCTCCACAGCGTCAGACCTGGGAATATGAAAGCATTCGCTGAGCACGTGAAACAAACAATTTTTTTTCGTTTTAAGCATCTGCGTACATCATATACTCTCAAATCGTTGATGGAAGCTGTTACCATTATAACGAAGATACAAATAAAATGACTCACGTGCTGAGCACCACAATGGCCACCGAACCATCAGGTCTTGAGACCGCCGCTGCCTTCAGGGTGCCGCTGACGGCAGTGTCGACGCGGACACTATCGCGGGTGAAGAACTTGCTGACGTGCGCCAGCGCGTAGTGCATCGGCTGCTTGTAGAACTCGTCGGCCGTCTGGCAAAGGGAATTACTTTTCCTGTTAATTCAGGCCGACCATAAATTATAACCCTTGAACTAGGGTGAATTGCCGCATAGAGTTAATGTATTCATTTGCAGTGTATAGGTTATATGTGGCATGTCTGTAGAGCTTCAATTTCGCTAATTAAACCGATGTTAATAACTGCAGGAGTGGCAACATGCTCATTGTGACATGGGAAATTTACAAAAAAGTTAGAAAATGTTTAGACCTCATGAAATAGACGAGATAATTTTAACGCAATGTCGTCAAAAAAGTGATGAGTATTCACCGTTGACATACATTCGAGTACACTGGCTGGTGAACTCAAATTAACCAAGTGGAACGTATCTGTTAGGAGTTGTTTCCTATATGATTCAAATCAGATTAGGGTGGCTTCCAAATTCGCACCAAAAGTCCACTTTTGTTTGTCATGGCAGCATTGTTACTGGGCATTGGGTGTTAAGAGCTCCAATGTTTCGGTAATAGTGCAAAACTCAAAATAATTCCGGGTTGGCAAAGAAAAAAAGGAATTAAAAAAAATTTCTGGCCGAGGTTCCAGGCTAATGTGGCACTATCCTACTTTTCGTCTAGACCTCCTTATAGTTTGGCATGAAAATTTGCCCCAAGAGACCTCGGCCAAGTACATATAATGCGACTAGATTTGATCATCGTTCTATGTATTAGTGATGGCCAACTGTGTGAAAAATCAACCGTGGAAGACGATAGAACGCATGAAATAACTACTGTATTATCCCTGTCAGGATGCTCATCAATTATATATTATTTAACAAAAACACAAATAAAAACAGGGAACAAAGTAAGTTCACCGGTCGAATATACTCCAGCAAATTTGGGAATATCTAAGTTTGTGGATTAATTTTGCAGACAAACTTCATTTCCATTACTTTTTACGAAATCCCGACAGTTGCTATTCAATCGCTACCGAAATGTATATTCAATATAGTCCGTATTCCATATATTTTTTATTTTGAATTATATCCACTTATTTATAATGCAAATTTGATTAATTTAAGCATGACCTCACATACATCATCTCAATGTAGAATCATTGATTTTTGATCCAGCTAAATGCCATAATTGGCTGATCCTACCGGGACACCCTTCTCGTGGAGCCATTACTACCACGTTTTCCCGGCCCTGGCCGGCTGTAAGATAGTTTCTAAATAAGCTTTGACGGGACGCCCCGTAAAATGGCCGTTTATTCCAGCACTGCTCGTTGTGCCGCGACGTATACCGGTCAAATAAGCCGGCTCTAAGCTAGGCTTTAATATTTGCCAGGAACGTTCAGAAATATGACACGGGACAGCGGAGCATTGGCGTGAAGTACTTGAGCAATGAAAGCATCATTAATTTCTACGCAACAACCCGGGTAAAGATCGTGTAACCCATCAATTCAGAGCGTTGTTTACTCCCAAATCGCGAAGCGTCCCACCCTCGTCATTGGTCTTGAAAGCTATAGGGTGTGGATGACATTTATTTGAAAATTTGTTCTATATCATTATGAAATTGTGGAGATTGATATTGGTCCCCATGATTACTGTAATGTGTGATCTATCTCTTTTTGCCGGTACAGTGTGCACAAGTCAGCCTTATCCGAATAAAAAAATAGAAAAAATTGAGAGGGAAAATACGACATAATCGAAATAAATTCTCAAATTTGCAATTGAGTGAGGAAAATTCAGTGGGACTGGGAGATTGGGACACCCTTTGTTTTTTGTGACCTGTTAAAGATAATATTACGAACTTAAATTGTTTTTATATTGCTTAGTCTCATAACCGCATTGACTTCTCTTACCGCATTGACGATCACTTGGGAGTCCAAGGCTCCGCCCGGCCAACATGGACCGCCATTGAGGTCCAGAGCCATGTTCCAGTCCACCCACCCAGTGGAGTAATAGTTCAAGTTCTGCAGTTATGCGAAATGATGAAAATTATCTGAATTTCTTGATCAGGACACGCAAAAGATCCCATCAACATTTTCGTTCAATTTACTGATAAAATAAAATCTCGCTTCAAAGACGTGAAAATGTTGCCAAAAATAATAAGAAAACGGATTTGATTAGAGTTTCACTCACTTCGAGTATGTCGTACAGGTACTGTTCAGCTCTGAGCCAGTCTCCCAGATAAACGCTGTCAGGATTCTCTTGGCGTACGCCTTCAGAACAAAGTTATATAAACTGAACCATTTAGTCGCGATGAAATTGCACGTTACATATCTCACACCCCTGATTGCAACACTGGCAGTATCATTCAACTTGCCGGATTGAAATTGCGATTTGTTATTAATCTACTATCTCTAGTCTAAATTACATAATTCATTAGTACGTGAGTTACATCTACTGAAACAAAATAATGTGCAGAAACCCGATTTAAACTATGCATATTTGAACCCAGACCTGTGCTGGCTTCAGTGTGGAGGAGGAACTTGGTAGGGTCGAGGTCTCGTGTTGCCAGCAGGACTTCAGGACCAATGAAGTCGTCGACATACCAATGAGCCGCAACCCCCGCGATGTACTTACTGCACTCAGGGTCGCTAAGGAGCTTGGAAAAAATTGCGCATACCTTGTAAAATTTAGAATAACTTGATAACCCATGTGAAACTTGCATATAATTTGAATAGTTAAGAAATGGAAATTCATTCATGGTAGCTTTTTATTAGCATAGAATCAATAATTGAGTAGATAGGACGTTCACTCATACCAAGGAATATGTATGCCACATTAAGCGTTTATAAATCATTGAACACATTTTCTCACCGGCATCACGTAATCTGGAAGTTTATCCCTGTTGAAGTCAAAAACCATCAATTTTTTATCAGCGTAACCGGCAGCCTCGAGGGTGGGTCCCAGAAAGTCCCGAATATAGTCCCGCATGTCCTCCGGGAGCCACTTGCATGCGTTTATAGTCCACACCTACGAAAAATTCGAACTTTTTATTAGGTATTACGGTCACCATTCATTGTCTATGAGATTACATGCCGATTACGCGTGTTATGAATTTAAATTTGTCATACTTTCTGCTCCGGATTTTACCGGATACTCTCTGCTCCGGATACTTTCTGCTCCGGAACGCATATTTCAGCAGTGAAAAAAGTTATGAAAGTTCATTAAGTTTCAAAAATCCCTTGAATAATCACTCTCTTTTTATTCAGATCGATATTTTGAATTGCTAGACTTGTCATAAAACTTGATTTGTTAAATATTTTATGCGGAGGAGTTGAACAACTGAAGTATACATATTTAAAAAGGTATATGCAACATGCCCACCGTCTCGTCAGTAAGCGGCTCGTTCTGAGGCGTGAAGCCCCACACGGGCACGCCCGCTGCCTCGTACGCATCAATCCACCTGACGGAGGGGCAATGTGAATAGAGAACGATTAAATTGAAGTTTTGAAGTAATAAAGGAATTTACCAAGTAAAATGTAAATTTATTACATGCTCACAATAACGCATTACTCGAAGTTAGCTTTACAAGTTTCCCAAGTTTATGCCGTGGTTCCAAGTCTCTTGGCCCAACTTACTTAACCATGAAGTTGGCATAGGGCTGCCGCATCGCAGGTAAAAGGTACCCCAGCCCCGTGACTTCCCCGGTACTTTTCATCCAAGCAGGTGGGGACCACGGGGACCCAAGAATAAAAATTTCTGAAGAGCTTATTTCCATTGCACGCAGGATGTTTGGGATCTGAATGGGAATCAAGATTTATTTAGTCGGAAAGAAACGTAAGTTATTTTATTAATTGAACGTGAGGAATATTTCTTTTTGTTTAATTTTGACAAAATGAACTACTTCAAATTTGACTTCATACTCTCTCAATAAATGAACAAACCTTCGCAGTATAATCATGTCTCTATAAATTCATAACGGTAATACTTCGATAAACAATAGATGAAATGAATTCGAGCGTCTATAAGTGTCCCACCTTGGCATCAATATCTTCAGGAGCAAGGGACCAGAATTCGAGAGCGATGTCGCCCTCGACGTCGTCGAGAGAGTAAGGACGCGTTGAGAAGTCAGAACCGCCGATGGTTACTCTGCTCACGGTGAACTCTGCACCCTCGGCAGCAAAGTAAGACCTGCCATACAGGCATCGAACTCTACATTTTTTATTACAATTCGAGTGGGTTGACAACCTATTTTCCGGTTGACAACCTAAGTTTCCCATTTAGGTATCGTAATTACGAATTTAGTATTCAGTACACTAGTATTGTAAGGAATAAGCCTTATGTTCGAGGATTACGTTTTATTGCAGAGCTTCATATGTGTTAGCTGTCTATGGTTTGAGAATAACGGTATTTCAGACATACAACCTCAAGACATTATCGCGAGCAGCATCAGATAAAGTGTTTAAGTTGAGCGCCGCAGAATCTGAGAAGGAAGAACCGAAGCCAATGATGGTCTGGTACTGGTTGGTGGTGTCCACTGTGATTTCGACACCTCCCGCATCTGGAATTTATCAATTCAAATTTGATTTTTGTCTATGATCTCAATGGTTTTACAAAGTCGCATCTCCGTTGTTCAGGCGCAGTACAAATTTAAAAATTTGCAGCCTTGAAAAAAGTTGAAATTCAAATTAAAGGTTTGCACTGAGCAAAACTTTTTTTTGCAACACTATTGAGTAAAAATTGCAAATTTATTTCAAACATAAAAGGCGAGACTCAAACTACCATTTTTGCCTTCAGAAACAGAAACGAGTATGTACAAAATAACTGAAAATTCACTGTAAGAATGAAGTTAGGAGGAAGTTAGGACAGCGAGATAGGTAATTTTTGTGCTTTTAGAGCATTTTCTCATTTATGGAAATAATGCACTATTGTGCTCGTCATGTCCGTCCGTCTGTCTGTCCGTCGGTGACTTCACGTTTTTGTCGACAAGAAAATGCGCTCTCTGTCACTTACTGCAGTGAGTACTGAGTTACATTTTTTATGTGAGCGTCCTCAATTAATGCGAAATTCTTTTCAAAATAAGAACTTGATTACCTGGCGTTGCTTCTATTTCTCCGGTGGTTGGCTCGAGACGCAAGGCGTCCCTGGTGCTGGTGTAGACGGCGTAGGTGCCAGCTGCTGGCACTGTCACCACACCAGCCTCATCACAATAGGTGGCATTGCACACGCACACGAAACTGTCGTGATCGTAATCCCTTCGTGCACACTGACCTGCCCGCACACATCTTGTTCAAACCAGAATTTTCAATATAAAATTACTACCTCAAAGCTTGAAAGAACCAAAGGCAAATGCAAAAGAATTATTTGCAATGATCTATATGGCTGTGCCTGGATAATGTTCCTTTAAATTGATGAATTTCTCAAAATACGTAATCCCCTCAACATAAACCCTGTCATATAATGAAAGTACAATATAGAAGTTACAATTCGAATCTAAAAAGAAATTAGTGTAAAATTAATTGATTTTCCGACCATTAACATGTTGCAAGATTATCACACTTGCAAGCAGCTGCAGCAGTGGCTTCATCATTTCAGTGATGCCGGCAGAGGACAAGCTGATGGGTGCTGCTGTCCTGTTGGAATTTTATACTGTCGCCCGCACCGATGCTCTCAAGGGCAACACCTGAGGCTTTCTCAGGTTAATGTTTTTATCGAACATACGCTGCCTTATCTTGCAGTTACTGCATTTCCCACACAGAGTGAACTTTTTACTGCAAGGAAACATAAAAGTCAATATTCATGAACTAAAACTACCTTGTAAATTCACTCTTAAACTGCTGCATTTGATTCTACTAATAATTACGTTTCTACGAGAGGGGGGATTACTGTAACATGTTTGAGAGGCCCATCTAGTATGGTGTCGCATCAAGACAACCAACTTTCAGTTGGTTGTCTTGAGATTGAGAAACGAGATTCAGATTGTGTCGTTGAAACGCGTAGTTGAGAGCAAGCTTCGCGATTAAGATTGAACATCTAGCTGGAGCGTTAAAGCAAAGTCATTCTGAATTTGCATGTGTTAAAAAATTTAATGTAAGCTCGAATCAATTTACGAAGAAAGCATAAAAAACTTTAAAAATAATTCATTTTGTTACATCTAATCAGAAAATTTATAGGGACGGCGCTGTCTTCATTCGTCGGAGTCCATCAGAAAAGTTCAACGAGAAAAGGGTTCGAAAATATTTAGGGAGACTAGCATAGCAGAGCATAGTGAAGTCGGCGTTGAAGAATATATAGGCCTGATGTGGCCTGTCGCCGATTCTTGTTCTTTTCGGGACTCGTCTATAGGAGAGATCTAAAAACAGGTCCTTCTACCGGATCTTTTCCAAACTGTCAATAGTTTGAAATATTTACTAGATTTCCACCGGGTTCGATATGGTGCTAGGCATTTCAAGTTTGAACATATATTTTTCCATATAATCTGTTCTTGAACGCGTTTATACTCGGAGCGTCAACGATATAATCAGGGAGGCTGTTCCACATGTCGGTGATTCGAAGCGAGAAGAAATGTTGTGTGGATGAGTTGCGACGCAATTTTTTTCAGTTTATAGTCGTGGCCCCTGGTGTTGGTTCTTGTTTCAAATTCTGAATAACTGAATAAGAATGCATAAAATTAAGTATAGAGTTGCTTTTCATGAAAATGTACGAGTTACTTGCCGGTTGTGGTGTTGCTGAGCTACCCTGATTTAGAAACAACACCACATGTAACCACCGTTCACGGCCCGTTAGCCGTGAAATACACGACAGCAGCAGCGATACAGCAATGAGCTGCAAGTGTCATCATGGACTGTGATGACACATCGCCATCATACCGCAGTATGACTATGCCAATCGTCATGCATCGTTTGAAGCTATAGATAGAGCAATATTGGAAAGTGAAGGTTTATATACTCTAGTATTTGGCGTGGGATTTTCTGAGAGTGAATCAGATGTTTCCAATGCATGTGAGTCTGGAATTTCATATCACATTTGTGGTTTTAAGTTTTTACATGTATTACCTCTTCTTATCGTCACTGCATTCATATTAATCCTTTGATTATGATAGCTGTTTGCCAATTAAAATAGATGACATCAGTAACTTTTTACCCAGTTTGAACATATTCCATTACAAAATTCAAATTTAAAAAATTATTTGTTGTTAATTCATAATAATTAGTGAATGAATTGAAAAATGTCTGAACAAGACCTCTAGCAATTTAAGCATCAAATAAAATGATTAGTCAGAGTGAAAAATATATAATAATTCTGACCTCATTTAGTATCAGTTTGATTTGGGATTATAAAACGTCATTTTACATGTATTATTGTACGGTGGGAAAAAGTACTCTGATGATATTGAATGAAATTCCCAAAAAGATGTTTCCTGTTCCAGTTGGAGAAGATGGACAGCCTGATCGAGGCTAAAGAACTTTCCCTTGAGATCAAGGATTAGGAAGGTACGGCACCTGTTTCACCTGGAACTGTGACAACGGCTGAAGATGACTAGTATCTTCATGCAGGTTCAGGTCCCCCAGGCATTCATGCCACCGCTCATAGGGTCATTAATCCTACAATTGAAACATCTTCCGCTATCTTCTAGCATGGACCAAAATTATTGCCACAAATGTCCACAGTTCTTCAGAGAGCTACATCTGCTAAGCTTGCCAAGACCATGATGCTAGGTACTGTAAGCGCATGGAAGCTATATATAACGCCTATAAGCAGACAAATTGTATCTACTGTACCTAGAACTTGCACCACTTCAGGGACTAGAACTAGCAACTGGCAATTCTGATGAGGATAATATTCTCCCAGCGGTTGTGGGGGACTAATCAGAAAATTTATAGGGACGGCGCTGTCTTCATTCGTCGGAGTCCATCAGAAAAGTTCAACGAGAAAAGGGTTCGAAAATATTTAGGGAGAATAACTGAATAAGCCTGCATAAAATTAAGCAGAGATTTGTTTTTCATGAAAATGGACGAGTTATTTGCCGGTTGCCGTGCTGCGGAGCTGATTTAGAAACATCACCATATGTAACCACCGCTCACGGCCCGTTATCCGTGAAATTCACGACATATTCATATTCAAGGAACGGCGAGAGCACGGCCGGGAACAGCAGCAGCGATAAAGCAATGAGCTGCAAGTGAAATCATGGACTGTGGAGACAAAGCCATCATTCCGCAGTATGACTTTGCCAATCGCCATGCATCGTTTGAAGCAATAGATAGAGCAATATTGGAAAGCGAATTAAGGTTTATAAACTCTAGCGTTTGGCGTGCGGATTTTCTGAGAGTGAATCAGATGTTTCCAATGCAGGTGAGTCTAGAATTTCATATCATTATTATTAAAATAGTTGACAAGAGTAACTTTTTGCCCAGTTTGAACGTATTCCATTACAACATCCAATTTAAAAAATTATTTGTAGTTATTTGATAATAATTAGTGAATTATTTGAAAATTTTCCGAACAAGTCCTCTAGCTATTCAAGCATCAAAAAAATGATTGGTCAGTGTGAAAAATGTATAATAATTCTGACCTCATTTAGTGATTTGGGATTAAAAAACGTCATTTTACATGAATTATTGTACGGTGGGAAAAAGTACTCTGATAATATTGAATGAAATTCCCAAAAAGATTAAAACATGTTTCCTGTTCCAGTTGGAGAAGATGGACAGCCTGAAGAGGCTCAAGAAATTTGCCTTAAGATCAAGGATTAGGATGATACTGCACCTGTTTCACCTGGAACTGCGACAACGGCTGAAGATCGACGACTGCATGGTATCTTCATGCAGATTTAGGTCCCTCAGGCATTCATGCCACCGCTCATAGGGTCATTAATCCTACAATCGAAACATCTTCCGCTATCTTCCAGCATGGACCAAAATTATTGGTATATTGCCACAAATCTCCACACTTCTTCAGAAAGCTACATCTGCCAAGTTTACCAAAACCATGATGCTAGGTACTGTAAGCGTAAGGAAGCTGTATACCGCATACAAACAGAAGACAATTTGCATCTGCAGTACCTATAGAACTTGAACCCCTTCAGGGACTAGAACTTGCACCCCTACAAGGACTAGAACTTTCACCCCTAATGAGGATAATATGTGCACCCCTTGAGAGCCTAATGCAGAGACTGTGCTGATAAAATTTCATCTGTGAATGGGAATTACTCCAATACAGAGACCATGAGACAAACTATAACTGAAATGCAACAATAAAACATTGTGCAAGTCAACTTCAGCTGTAAGTGTGACAAAAAATGCTTCTGGTGTAACGTACACTCGGAAAAGAAAAAGGCGAAGCGATGGCCATAAGCACACCATGGTGAATGATTTGATAACTGGGACATATTAACCTATGTCAATGTCTCATTGGGTAATACCGAACGTATAGCATCTAATGCTGAAAAATTGGCAGCATTCTTTTNATGATACTAGAATTCTGAGTCGAAACATAATTTGTAATGAAATACTTATGTGAGATTATTAGCTTACATTCAAATAAAGTCTTCATGACGGATTCCGATGGAAAGAGCTGTGCCTCACGTTGATGAATTGAACATCATGTCAGTTTACATTTTTACTAAATTTTTGGTTATTTTCCTGAGAACTTTTGGCATCGTAAATTTTTGGCTATGCTGATGTTTACTGCCTTAATTTCTTTTTCTAATAATTCAATTCAATTTCTCCCTATAATGTTCGAAATGTTGATTTGATGATGTCTTTAGAGGATGCGATTTCTTTTATCTGAATAAATATTGCTTTCATTCCTCTTAGCCTGAATTATATATAAAAAAATTCACCTCTTTGACGGCTCACTGGACACCTTACCTGGATTTCCGAGCTAACTATATTATGTTAATTTGTAACTTTGCACTAGTATTATGTGCATCATGTGTCAAAAGGGCGACTAAGTTGTTTTATTTTCACTAGCCCATTTTCTGACTGTTTTCTGTAAGTAGAATACTCTCACTGCCTTATCGGAATTAAAAAAGTATGATATCTGTTAAGTTTGTAATGTAATGACCAGAGAATTCATTGATTTAAATTTTCAGGATTGAAAAATATTCTTCAGATGACGTTGGTTGATAAAAATGCAGGTTCAAGGAAGTAATTTAATTTATTAACGACGTTTCGAATGTGACAACATTGATTTCCAAGTTATAGGAAGCATTGAATACTGAAATTTAGGCAGAAATAAATAAAGAAATAAATGAATAAATCGCACCAGACTATAAGTCTCAAATATTACAATTGAGCAACTTCATCTCAAGATCCGTGATGGATTCAACAGGCTCCGTGACACCCTTGACAACTCCCACGTTCTGTACTGGAGGAGCCCACCAGCATCTTCATCGTGCAGTGACCCGACAAATCCGACCGACGGTAGCTGAAGCCCTCATCTCTACGGATTGGACTCCATCTACTCATAACTCTCATAACTACCGGATTTTCTGAACCTTGAAACTGTTTCGGAATTATTTTCACGGTTTCAAATTTTCGTGTTATATCATATTTACGTGCATCATGCATTTATTTCCGCCTAAATTTCTGTATTCAATGCTTCCTGTAACTTGAAAATGAATGTTGTTACATTCGAAACGTCGTTAATAAATTAAATTACTTCCTTGAACCTGCATTTAGATCAACCAACGTCATCTGAAGAATATTGTTATATCATGAAAATTTAAATCAATAAATTCTCTGGTCATTACCCACCCGTGTTTACACAAGCTTATTCTGCCATCTTATACTAATATCTGTTAAGTTTGCACTAGTTGCAATTGCGCCATTATGTGCCAAAGAGGAACTATGAATAGTTTAGTTTTACTTGTCCATTTTCTAATGTTCTATATAAAGTGAGGACTCCCGCGGCCTGGTCGGAATTAAAAAAGTATGCTATCTGTTAAGTTCGTACATGTATCAATAACTGCGCTATTATGTGATAAAGAGAAGTATAAGAATAATTTTATTTACTAGTCTATTTTCATCTCTTTGCCATATTGCTGTATTACACCAGTAATTACATCACAATTAGGAATTATTTAATGTCTTCATACCTGTTCCAAAAGGAGTCACTGCTATTGATAATCACAACATTGGCTTAACTTACTAGAAAGCATCACATACGTTTCTATGACTTTGAATACATTATATACAAATAGCTTTTTCGTCGAGTAGTCAATGATTCTCATGAATTGGCTACATGTGTGAATCCAACAAATTTTTTTTTTAAAAAAGGCCTCCCACACTACCCATTCCAACAAAAGGATTTATTAATTTTATTAATTAAAAACAGGGAATGGTTTCATGTCAATGATCAGGGCCCCGACCTTAACGCCTCTGATGGTGGCCTACACACACCTCCCATTAGAAAATGGGAAAACCGTTAAACCATCTGGTCTCTTACCATCCCCTCTGTCCACTCCAACGGGTTCAAGGCATGAAGGAACGCCAGCGCTCTTTTCCAACAAATTCGACACTGACAATTTACTTTGCATAAGCTGCCATAATTATAATATATATTGTGTATTTTCAAGGAAAATTCATGATAAATAATTTTAATAAAATAGCGATGCAATTTTCTTCTGTGATTGCCCTGCAACATGTTGAAATGAAGATTGTTCTTACATAACGGAAGGTATGCAACAGAAATAGGTCTTCTGTTTAATATTTGCCGAAATTCCAGACATTAAACATTTTTCAATGCTGTCAGTATGCTATCTGTTAAATTAGTATCATATGGCAGACTTTACTTGTTTATACACGTGCGATGTAGCACGTATCTGTTAAGTTTGCACTAGTTTCAATTGCGCCTTTATGTGCCAAAGAGGAACTATTGTTGGGAAACCTGGCTACTTGAAACTTCCTACGAAGAAGCAGAGCTACTCTGTCTATATAAGACAAAGGTGCAGCTCTCGAATGAGCTGTCTTAAGGCTGTTTATGGTTTTTCTCATTGAGAACCGCCCGAGCTTCAGAGCGCGCTTATCCAAGTTTGCTGCCGTGACTCGTGAGGGCTGACTATCTTACGTCTGGCCGGCGTGGTGCCACAGGAATGTGAGAGCGCAGGCCTGTCCCGCTGCCCCACTATACCCTTTCCCTAGCGCACATGCCATCAATGAACTTTGATTACTACCAGCAAACTCTCTGCTATTTACAGTGCGACGTCAAGGAAATGAAAAATAATACATTATGATATGCTGTTAATTTCAACATTTTTTTCCATTTTATTCATGACAAATAGACTATTTTCAAACAGTTATATTCTCATCTCCATTATATATATATATATATGCATCACATTCAATCATTTCCATGACATTTAATTTATAGAGTAAAAATTTCTGAATGAAAGATATATTGCCACTTGACTATTAATCATTTATTCTAGACCATGTCAATATTATAGACACGTCAAGGGAAGGTTGCAGAGACACGACAAAGAAATTATAACTTTTACTGGTAATTAGGATCCATCAAACTACAGAGATAGTAATTAAGACTTTACAGAGACCAAAAGTTTACTCATAACGACAGCGATGGCTGTCGCTGGCATAACAACAGCAAAGTGCATCAATGTATGCACTCTGTCAGCCCAGTCCGAAAAGAGGGTCTGGGGTGGAGTACGGCAGCATGCATGGGGGTGGAGACAGAAGGGGAAGTAGTTAAACCGCAGTAGGGGTTTTCGGAGGGGGTAGGTTTTAGGTGGAAATATTGGAAATATTGTGAGGCTCTTTGGAGGCTTGCTCGACACAATGACCCGTATAACGAATATTCAACATCTACACAGTTTCGGATATACGCTTCTATCCCCGTCACCAGCAAAGTAACTGTCCTTCAAACCATGTGTTTTCTAGACTCGTAGAAAATCCCTACGCGAGGATGTCTGCTTCCATTCATGACGGGTGACATGCCAGTTTAGACTACCGGCATAGACTCTGGGAGCTTTTTTTACGCTGAGCATACGCACAGACAGCGCAAAATCGAGTACGTACGCTCATGAATAGAATTTTTTCTGAGCGATAGCCAACTATTGCTGCAAGTCTCGAGGGAGTTGAGTAGTTATGCCTATATGATCGCTTATGCCAGGCACCATCTGCAGTAACTAATATCTTGGGGATACCATTTGTATCAGCTCTATTTTTTCGAATGACCAATTTTTTTCTTCTTGAGTCGCGACTTTCATGCTTTTGAAAGCTGTTTCAATCCACTTGTCACTGACAAGTCGCTCGTGTTTGTGAAATGTGTTTTGAATGACGAAAGGAACGCTAAGAGATCCTAAAAATTCTGAAGCTTGTGATCTCCCGATGCCTATTGTTTCTCTTGTCAGCGAAACGAATGTTGTCGCAAGTGTTCTCGCACACGAACTAACAATGGAAGTTCGTAATTTAAACGGTCTAGCTCTTTAATTAACACCAATCAGCCGGGAGGGTAAGGAGGCTGTACCTCTACCCCCAAGGAAGAGGGTAGACGTGGACAATGCCACTACACGCGAGCTGATCTATGAGCGTCAAGGAAGGTATCGCAAGAACGGGACGACACTTGTAACATGCTCAGAGCCAGCTTCCAAAGAAAATGGGAAATCTATGATTTAGGAGTAATGGAAAAGTATTTTGTTAGAAAATTTCTACAAAATGGAGGGTGATTCAAATATGACTTTACTACCGATCAATAGAGAATAATTAGTACTACTTCCTTATGTCACAAAAATTTAGGTAAGTCGCATGCATAATGGACATCGATGTACAACATTTTCCTCTTTCATAACTGAAGTTTTACAAAATTTACATATATTTTGTAACTGTAGGAATATTGTAAATAAATAGCTGAAAAAAGCATAAAAAATTAAGATCGATATTTCATGTACGAACGGAGTTATAATGACTATGCGTAGTGATAGAATCCCATAGGGATCCAGCATAGCCTGCCTGAGGGCTTGCGGTTCTCAATCTGAGCCTTAATGTTTACATCTTTCATAAAGTTTTCCGCGGTCGTATATCTGTTCCCATTGTGATTTGTTTTGCGTCATATTTTCCTCGGCTTCTACTGATGGTCTTATTTTGTTGTTGTTGTGCACAACCCTTGCTGAGTAATTTGTTTAAGTTTGGGTGCAAGCTTTTGTCATCTTTCAAACACTTCGGCAGGCCCGTGACCCGCCTGTCTGGCTTTGTGACGGTTACCTCTTAAAGAATTATCAGCTAAAATTAAAACTTTACTCGACCAATTCCTTAAAGTCCTATTAAACTTTGGTTGGCGGGTTCCGTTGAAATCTCTAACTTGACTTTGAGCTTTGTTTTAGCTCAAACTGCCACGGTGTTCAAGCTTTGTGGTGCATAATAATTTGCAGCACAGTGGCGACCATTAAAATTGTTAACTGTTGCGGTTTGAAACCACATTAATGCAGCCGCGTTTAAACTTTCGAATGAAAATCGCGGACTACCATTATATATATATTTCTAAAAGCATTTCTAAAAGTTCTTCTACATGTTCTATTTCTTCTTCTACATTTACACTTATTTTTGATTTAATAAGGTGAGCTATACCTTGAAATATAAATAGTATATTAAATCTCATAATCGTTCAGAGCGACGTTCTCTGAACCTCATAATCATTTGCTGCCATTCAAGGCAGCGTGGTTTAACCTTATGCGTTTCTTCACCCAGTATAACTTCCTCAAAATGTCAAGTCTTGGTCCAATAAGCTGAACTGGATTCTGCTTATTAGTTTTGCATTACGTCCAAATACAAGCCACAAATATGACTCACTGTAATTCAAGAAGATACTACAATAAATCTTTTTCAACACAATTATTCATATTATCATTCAACAATCTTCACTGTCTAATTAACTAATTTTCTTGTAGTGGCTTATGTTATTAATATTTTGATGCTTGAGGTCAATAATGGTTTTCAAAGCTCCAGAGAGATAACAGGATAGTATGAGATAACAAATCAATAGTGATAACAGGATAGTTAGAGATAAGAAATTGCAACCAGTGAAAATATACTTGCCGACTCAGAAGAATTGTACATTTAGAATGTTAGAGACGTATCAGGTCTTCTACCTGGTACACTGAATTTTGTACTTTTTATTAATCATAATTGCTCAGTTTTTTCTTATAGAAACATGTGCTTACTTTTGCGTCTATTCTTCTGACTCCAATCTGAATGGCTTCATTCCCTTGAGTTTCTGAGGTCTGTGCTTAAAAAAATAAGCCAAGTGTTGAAGGATTGCAAACGCTTTGAGATTCATGCTCATGTGATTTATTTACTATGTTCCAGAAATTATTGATGATTTAGGTTCTGAACAAAAAATCCCATTGGTATAACTTGTGCCTAGTTTTGTGTTATAACTCCATCATCAACCAATCCGTTTACAATGGCGTCCATCAGTCAAGCATATTCTCTTCTTGGACAATTTTCATCTAATCATCTGAAGAGGGTCAATATTTTGGCCTTTTATAATACCACAAATGTGAGAAACGTCTTTATTGGTGCAATTACTTGCTCCTCATCCAAAACCAGCATGTTTAATCGCATGCTACCACTGCCTACTTTGGCTGCCAATGCTGCAAGACATAACTGCCGCTACCTGGGGACAAGCTCAGAAGCTGCTGCTGCTGGGGCTGCCACTACCAAGCCTTCACCTGTGAAGAAAGAAATCCTGAAAGAATATTCTGAAATTCCTGGCCCTTCACCACTTCCCCTCGTAGGGAACACTCTCTTCTTTATCACTCATAAGGGTATGTTTTCTCGAAGTACTTTCATTGTACTGTGCAAATGTAAATGTCGTTCATATCCCAACATTTCTATATATGGGTGGAACTTACATTGATATATTGCCAGTTGACTACCTTTCATTATGTTTTTCACACTTGATTGTATATTGATCTTGATATTTTGTTGTCATTTAAAACTAATTGTTGGTTAAGACCTTCATTCACATTATTTTCTTCATGTCATTGGCATTGAACGATTTCAAGTTTTCAACTTCATTCATTTTAGGCATGAAATTTTGAAGCCCTGCATGGCCCTCCATTGTTGGTAATTTTCGTCAGGGCTGTTATGTTGGGCAAATTTTGCCTCTAATGTGCTAGGCTCCACGCCGCTCTAAATAATTTGTTAACTACAAGCTCCTATGCTGAACCCGGTTTTTCTTTAGGCCTCCCAACAGAATTAATATTTCCTGGGAAGATTCTTAGGAGCTAATTTTCATATCACATTAGTATGATAGTCTGAGCAATATAGTATAGTATAGTATCTTCGGCATTTAAAGAATAGGCCTGGATAGGCCTGTCGCCGATTCTTGTACTTTTCTTGACTAGACTGGCCGTTTGATCACTTTTCAACGGACGGCAGATTTAAAATAGTTTCTAGATGTCAGTTGTTCCGTAGGGCACTTGGCATTTTAAGACTAAACATATGCTCATGCATGGCCTTGTCTAGTCTGTCCTTGAACGCGTTCAAACTCGGAGCATCAACAATATCTTCAGGGAGGCTGTTCCACATGTCAGTGACTCGAAGCGAGAAGAAATGTTGTCGCGTGGATAAGTTGCACCGCAGTTTTTTTTTAGTTTATAGCTGTGGCCCTTGGTGTTGGTTCTTGTTTCAAATTCTAGTAATCCTTCTGGGACCTTGTACAAACCANTTCTCAGCCATCGAAATATCTTCTTTCTTAATTGTTTAATGATTTCCGGGTTCCTTCACTGAGATTTAGCTAGGGTCTCTCACAGCAATAAATCACCGGAAACAATAAATCACCGGAAACAAGCCTGTTTAACACAACCGTCCGACGGTAGTAAAGATCCGGAAGTACAGCACATATGATGGCATAACCATTGAGACACGGATGTGGTTTGGTGGGCATGAAGAAACGACGCTTTTCTTTTGGTAATTTTACTTGCTATCGTTGGTGACAATGGTGACGTAAGTAACATGGTGACGTAAGCTGGAAATAAGATTTAATATTTGTTAATAGGTCGAGAAAGACATGCATGAAACACACTAAGTAGGGTCTGGACTCCCATTGGTTAGGCTTAACTAATAACGATGTAGCTGAGCGTTGTTAATTGACTACTCGATGACAATATTGCGACTGGCATGACAGGAATGGTTTATGTCAGCATGGTCAATTGCGCAGTATATTATTACTTACTTACACAAGGCGGTTTTGGCAAGCAAGCAATTCCGACGATAGCTACGTTTACCAATTTCAGAGAGTTAAGCCAGATACACCTATTATTGGCGTTTCCTTGCTTATGCTTGCATTTACCAACGCTAAGTGGGCTTTGAAATCAATTAATATGTAGGTATTAATTAAAGCGCCAACTCTTTGTTGGGCTTTGATTACGATCAGTGCCAACGGCTGCGGTTGAGCTTGAACTACGATTACGATATCTGAAATCGTGAAATAAGAGATTAAGTTTAAAGGAAAATATCTTAAAATTACCTAATATGCTTCAAATCAAAAGAGACTCAATGAAACGCAACTCCGCAGGAACCAGGAAGGTTTGATGAAGCGGTGAAGAAAGTAGTCTCCCTTAAAACTTTTCTCTAAGATTGAGTCGAAGAAAACGGACGGAATTTTTGCTATGTGGCTACGTAACATTCAAATAGGTCACAACAGCAAAAATGAGGCAAATGGCCTCATGAATATCAAATCACTACAGGATTGCTTTATACTAGGACCAAGTCTCACAATTTCTCCTATCGTGGTCACGGGCTCGAAAAGATGACGTCACGGCACCGAATCGCGGGGTGCATTGTGGGATCACCCGCCATATTTGTAGCATGGCCTAGCTTTTGCCTACGTGTTAAATCTATTAGGCTCGTCTCTTTTCGGAGTTTATGCTTGAAGATGGGACGCTACACAGAGAGAAAATTTCGGCGCCTTAAGCATATCAGTAGGTGATGCACTTGCGAGCTTCGATGCACTTAAATTTGTGCGGCTAACGCCGCGCGGCCATTGGTCAGTGCGCCGCACGGCCATTGGTCAGTGCGCCGAGTGCTCTCACAGTGCATCGTACTGATATACGTATCGTTTATCAGTTTACCAGCCGCGAATATCTATGATATACGTTACAAGATATTTTCCGGGGGCAAAATCTTTTACTTAATTGCCGCTAGATAAGCTACATAAGTAAGAATAAAATGTAATAATATTTACAGATCAGATTACATTGTCATGATCCATTATCCTCACCTTGGCCGCAATGACAGTGTTGTTGCAGTTGGCTGGTTTGTGTGAAGACCATAATGATTTTCTTTTGTTCTATAATATCTAATGTTTCGCGGTCTTTGCATTGCCTTTCAATTTCATTATTAATTTGTTCTGCAAAATGTCGAGGTTTCCGGTAAATTGGTGTTGTTGGTCAGATTCTGTGGTCTGAGGTATCACCCATCCTGCACCCATCCATCATCAAATTGCTTGAAAGCTTCAAGCGTCTGGTATGCGTTGAATTCTTGCAATGTGTTTTGGCTGACGCCAAATACCAAATATTTTTTGTAAGTCACCGTGTGAAACGGGAGGCAGGCTGCAAAAAAATCTGCACACCGCTGCTTTGCCGACACTTCGGAGGTATCAAAATCGTTAATGTCGAAATATTTTCTTAAATACTTTTCTCTCGCAGAAGGAAGGAGCTTTTGACAATAGCTTTATCCTTTCTGTTTTTTTTTTCTTTCCTTCTCCATTGCCACCAAAACACCCAAATGTGTAGGAGCGAGAGTATGCTAAGGCGCGAATGGGCTACAAAGATGGCGGCGTAGCAACGCGGCTAACATGGAAACGCGGGAGCTTGGCGAGCCCGATAAGTGCTTGTACACGGGGACGGTACTGGCGGCCAGTAGATCAGATAAATGCCAAATGTCTGCCGCTTGGTGCCTATCCCGCAAGTAAGCTTAGACACGAGACAAGTTTAAGGTGCCGCCGCGCCGGTATCTAGTCGTTACCGGCACGGTGGCAACTTAAGCTTGCCTCGTGTCTAAAGGTGCTTGTACACAGGGATAGTGCAGACGGCTAGTAAATCTGGCTAGTGTCGGTCGCTTGGTGACCATCCGGCTAGTAAGCCTGTACAGTGTACACGAAGAGAGTATAAGGTGCCGCTATCTTCTCGTTCGCGTCGTTAAAAGCCAACTCAGTGCGTCTTTAAAAGCCATCGAGTGAGGTCTGCGAAGATGGATAGTGGGAACACCTTCAACAACTCGAGTCTGTACGTCGTTTTTATACTCTTTATTCTAACCTTTAAAAATGCAACGTCGGGAACAACTAAACCCTGACTAATACGGTCTTCTTCCAGTTTCAAATACTCGTTTCTCTCTTCATTTTGTTGGAGTAACCGTCATGGCAAACGTTCAACTTTAATTCATATTTTTGGAATATTTCAAAGAACACCCACTCGCTCGAGCTCTGTTGGGGCACTGGTGTGATGAGGTTGAGTGTTGACCAGGGTTGCCGAGGGAACCGTTTGGCGACTCGCTGCATTCATCAAAGAATAATTTCGTTGATTTTTGCGATTTTTCCTCGCACTTGTTGAGTGCTCGTCGAAGAGAGTGAAGAATTTAGGAAAGAATAGACAAGGATAGGAAAACTTTGTGCGTTGAATCTGACTGACTCGCTGCATTCATCAAAGAATAATTTCGTTGATTTTTGCGATTTTTTCCACGCACTTGTTGAGTGCTCGTCGAAGAGAGTGAAGAATTTAGGGAAGAATAGACAAGGATAGGGAAACTTTGTGCGTTGAATCTGACGAATGACGAACGACGTCACACATTGCTTAGATCTTATTCTTTATCAGCTGTTACTTATATATATAAATATATATATAGATGCATCCAGTTCACCTATAAGCTGGCATAAGCTAGGTATAAAAGATGATTTAGCGAGGAAAACTGAAATCTGTTAAAGGCAAGGTTGCTCGCTTAGCAACCTTGCCTTTATCACTCTGACACCTGTAGACCACTTTTTTATACTTATGATGGCTACATTTTTTTTATGTATTCTGCTCGTGACTTGGCTGCAGCTTTGGGTTAATCACTATCTATTGAATGATTAAATACCTTAGTGATTACTATGCGTTACGCAGAATTTCATAGGACTGCACAATAATTTCCGCTTATTTCATTGCATAGTGAATTTTAGTAAGGGCTATAATAAAGTACACGAATTGTGCACGAATCTACAAGTGGCAATCCTATTATACTATTGACAATTTCCCCTGACCTAAATATCTTACACATTATGATGATCATTTGATATTAGAATCATGTGAAACAATGTTATAATAGGTTTTTAACAGTGCTATGACTTGATTATAGCATGCAGACATCACTTTATACTTACATTTCTTTGTAACACAGTAACAGTACTGTTCACAACACGACATACACATAGGCATATAATGTTAACTGAATACTTTGACTCAGTGAGATGTTCAGCCCCTTCTTTTCTCATCATCCATTCACTCCAATATTATTAATTACATTCCTTGTATTTAAAAACTATTCCTTCATTTGGCAAATGGCCACAGGGCATAATTGGGTAATCTTTCTCACTGCAGAATTTGACCCTAGCAACTACTACAAATTTTGGGGGGCTCTCATACAAGAATATGGCAGCATTGTGAAGCTCCAGACCATTGGCATGCCCCCCATGGTGGGCACCACCAACCCTGATGACATTGAGGTCTTCCTTAAGAGTACTCTGGAGAACCCTATCCGCATAGGCTTTGCAAGCCTCAAGAGCGTCCGCCTGCGTGCCAAAGACAACTACTTCAACAAAAAGACCGGCCTCCTACCTGAGTGAGGATGCCTTACTAATCTGAGATGTATTAAAAAATATGCTAAATTGTTTATACCTCGTTCATTTGAATTATTCATAGTTTGTATAGTAAGTACACTACTCGTGCCTAATTTGCACTGGTTGGCCGACAGAAGGTCTTAAGATTTGTGTACTGCAGGACTATATGAGTGATCAGAAGAGGAGGGGATCATGACTGATTTTTTCCGAATCAAAAAGAATAACAAACTAATTTTTGTTATGTATGTAGAGATATATACCTGTTTTACATGCTTGAAAAACTATCTTCTATGTAGTAAATAAGTGTTAAGGAAATGGTTTGCAATAATATAGCGTCTCCTTGTCATACATATATATCATATAGCGTCTCCTTCCCCGCTCAACTACTGTCGAAATGTATTGGTAAGTTAGGCTCACAAGTTATTTCATTCCCTGACATTTAAAACTAGCAAACCAGCTGTCATGTATGGTACTTATATTATTTTATCTCAAAGATTGTGTTAATTTCCTGTCAAAAATCCACCAGGAACGGCGATGAGTGGTGGCGGCTCCGTAGCCGCGTGCAGNATGCTAGTGGGGTGCTGGTGTTGGTTGGAGGGCAGGTGTTGGTTGGGGAGGGCAGGTGATGTGGTGACGCAGTCGTCAGTGTGCCACGCAGGAGGTTGCCTGCTAGGCTTGTATCACTTGTTTACGGCTAATGATTGTCAGTGACAACGTACCTTAGCGCTGATTCTGCATTATCATCGCAGGATCGACCTACTGCAGGCCGAGACCGGACAAGTGCCTGCAGACTTCCTGCAGGAGCTCTACAAGTGGGCCCTGGAATGTGAGTACGGCCTTCGTTTAGAGAGGCGTGTGGTCAGGGGCAGTGTGCATTGTTTTCTCAGGCGTCTCCTGAGATCGTTGCCACGGTCCATGAGCCCTAATCGTTAGCGGTAATACGATAACATTAAACACCGTCCGGTTATGGTGCGTTGTTGCTCGTAAAGTTTTGATTATTGGGCTGGCGACAACGAGATAAGAAGGTTCAATATTAGGTCGCCACGAGTTACTGTCCTTTTCGGTGCGGATGTGCGACCGCCACGGTCAAACACAAGCTCTGCTTCCTTGACATTTTTCTCGTCCATCTCCTAACTTTCGACTCAGCATCATATCATATCATATAGTGATGTAGGCGCTGAAGAATAGGCCTGATGTGGCTTCTCACAGAATCTTGTACTTTTCGTGACTTGTTCACAGGAGATCAGAATGCAGGTCCTTTAATCGCATCTTCAAAACTGACGAAAGTTTGAAATAGCTACTAGACTTCCACCGGGTTCGATATGGTGCTAGGCATTTCAAGTCTGAACATATACTTTTCCATAGCTATATCTAGTCTGTTCTCGAACGCGTTTATACTCGGAGCGTCAACGATATAATTGGGGAGGCTTGTTCCACATGCCGGTGATTCGAAGCGAGAAGAAATGTTGTCCCGTGGATGAGTTGCAACGCATTTTTTTAAGTTTATAGTTGTGGCCCCTGGTTTTGGTTCTTGTTTCAAATTCTAGTAATCCTTCTGGGACCTTGTATAAACCATGAGTATACTTGATACTTCAAGGAGGTCCCCACGCAGACGTCGATAACAGAGGCTTGGAGGCTTCATAATCTTTAATTTTTCTTTATAGGACTTGCCCTTCAAGCCTGGAATTATCCATGTTGCATGTCTTTGAACACTCTCTATTAAATTTTTGTTCTTTTCAAGTCTCGGTGACCACACGGCGTTCCCAAACTCTAGGTTCGGGCACACGACAGCAACAAACAACCGATTCATCGCTTATGCATCTATAGGAACTCATATGAGCGTCTGATCAGTCCAAGAAGTTTGTTGGATTTATTAGCTTGCGTTTCAAAATGTTTAGAAAATTTCAGCTCCTAGTGGACATAAAATCCCAAATCTTTTTCCACACTAGACTTTTCATTCATTATTCTCTCGTTGCAACCATATCTTCTCATACTGTAACCTTGCTTTTCATTCCTCTTTCCGTGATGAAGTACTTTACACTTGTCAGCATTAAAACTCAGCTGTCACTTGTAAGCCAGTTAACTTAACTGTCAAGATCTTGCAATATTGCGCTTTATTTGACGCATCCTTCACTGTGTTATAAACTTTTGTGTCGTCGGCATACATAAGGGCGAAGTCCTGCGGTGGATCAGGAACTTCTTAATTGGGCGACGGCAACGAGTCTGTGTAAAAGGCAATCAATCAGACTGGGCGTTGGTAATTAGCGGTGTGCCACAGCGTAGCGTCCTTGGCCCCATCTTGTTCGTTGCTTATATTAGTGACCTCCCAGGTGAAGTTTCAAGTGCGTCCATTTGCAAAATTTACGCTGATGACACCAAAGTTTACGCGGCAATAGATCTCCCAGACGACAGAATCGCACTTCAGAAGGATCTGCACAATTTAGTGGACTGGGCGGATCGATGGCAGCTTCAGTACAACGCCGACAAGTGTCATGTGCTCCGTATTGGAAATAAGAGAGAAAAGTTCACTTATGAAATGAGAGAGCATGGCTCAAACAATGTAACCGTTTTGCAGAGGTCTGTGCTGGAGAAGGATCTTGGTGTGAACGTTGACAATGAGCTGAGGTTCTCGAGGCACATTGAAATCCAGATTAATAAGGCGAACAGTATTCTAGGTCTGATTAGAAGATCATTTGAATTTCTGGACGCTCCGACAATGAAAACACTATTTGTGGTACTCGTTAGACCACACCTTGAGTTTTGCAACGTTGCCTAAACTTGAGAAAGACAAGAAACTTATTGAAGGTGTTTTGAGGAGAGCAACTCGAGTCGTCCCAGGATTTAAGGATGTGGCTTATGGGCAGCGCCTGGAGAGGATGAACATTCCTATTATGGCATATAGGAGAACTCGTGGCGACCTTATAGAAACTTACAAATACACTCGTAGCTATTACCGGAATGAGAATTTATTAACGCTAGACACGGAAGGAATCACCAGAGGTCATCGGTTTAAAATAAAGAAACCAAGGTGTAATACTACTGCGAGGTGGCACTTCTTCTGCCATCGCGTGGTTGATCGGTGGAACGGCCTACCAGTGGAGGTTGCCGAGGCGACAACCCTGAACGCCTTCAAGAATCGACTTGGCTCGGTTATGCGTAGTTATATGTACAGTGTGGAGGAGCCTCCCACCAGAGTGCGACCACTGGACAATCGGACTGGGCGCTCTTAGGGAGCGTGCGTTGCCGAAATTTTTTTACTTGACGTGGCCATGTGGCCATTTTTTAGCAGTTTGTGTTTGAATGTAAGACGACGAGACTCGATGACAGGCCCTTGTCGGCCTAATCATCTGCGTCGATTCATGCTATGCTAAGCTTTACATGAAGCACACGTTTGACACTACTTCTGGCAGATCGTTTATAAAAGCAAAGAACAAAATAGGCCCAAAAATGCTTCATTGTGGCACGCCACTACGCGTTGATGCCCAGTCTGACACGGTTCCGTTAATACTGACACGTTATCGTCTACCTACTAGAAAATCTCTGATCCATTGGAGTACGTTTCCCTCTATTCCTAAAGACTTCACTTAATGCAACAGCCACTCATGCGGAACACTGTCAAATGCTTTAGCAAAATCGAAGTGCAATGCATCCACTGGCTCCCTTTCGTCCAGCAGGCGAGTCCAATCGTTCAACGTAGACAAGAGGTTAGTGGTGCAGGATCTACCGGCAATAAAGCCATGTTGGCAGTCTTATGGAAGATGGTGAACAGTCAAGTGATCCTCACAAACTACACTTTTCATACTGACAGGGCGATTGTTATAGGACAGTGGCAACTTTTGTCACCTTTTTTGAACAATGGTGTTATTTGAGCTTCTTTCCAATCGGTCAGCAAAGTTCCTTCGTTCAATATTTTTTGAAAGAATACTGTCAATGGGCCGGCCAGGACGGTTGCTAATTCTTAGAGCAATCTAGGATGGAAGCTGTCTGGTCCACATGACTTGTTGGGATTTAGAGCAACCATGCGCTTAAGAACCTCTTCCCGTATTTCAAAACCTTTTAACTTCGAGCCGGCTGGGAGCTTCTCAATATCTGAAATACTGTTCAAGTTCTCAACTATGAACTCACTGCTAGAGAACTGATTAAGAACGTTAGCCTTGCCCTCATCAGAGGATATCTTTCGCTGGTCTACTTTCAAATCAGAAATAGCCTGCCGTCGTTTGTCTTACACTTCGAACTAGCGTACAAGAAGAAGGCTTTCGGATTATTTTTGGCATTTTCAGCAATATTTTTTACGAAGTTTTCCACTGCAGAGCGACTGACTTCTTTAGCTTGAATTCGAGCTTTTGCATACGGTACAGGTTATAATCAGCATCGCTGCGAGTTCGCAAAGAACGCTTGTAGGCTTCCTTCTTGGTCTTTAGCTGAGCTATAGCTGTACTGCTCATCCACTGTGACTTTTTGACTACTCCGAGCTTAATCTTAGGTACACACGCATGAACTACCGACATAATCGTGGCTTTGAGAAATGACCATGAATCAGCCGCATACATGTCCTTAATACCTGTCTCTTATACACATCTAGATGTGTATAAGAGACAGGAGTACGGCCTTCGGTTAGAGAGGCGTGTGGTCAGGGGCAGGGTGCATTGTTTTCTCAGGCGTTTCCTGAGATCGTTGCCACGGTCCATGAGCCCTAATCGTTAGCGGTAATACGATAACATTAAACACCGTCCGGTTATGGTGCGTTGTTGCTCGTAAAGTTTTGATTATTGGGCTGGCGACAACGAGATAAGAAGGTTCAATATTAGGTCGCCACGAGTTACTGTCCTTTTCGGTGCGGATGTGCGACCGCCACGGTCAAACACAAGCTCTGCTTCCTTGACATTTTTCTCGTCCATCTCCTAACTTTCGACTCAGCATCATATCATATCATATAGTGATGTAGGCGCTGAAGAATAGGCCTGATGTGGCCTCTCACAGAATCTTGTACTTTTCGTGACTTGTTCACAGGAGATCAGAATGCAGGTCCTTTGATCGCATCTTCAAAACTGACGAAAGTTTGAAATAGCTACTAGACTTCCACCGGGTTCGATATGGTGCTAGGCATTTCAAGTCTGNGATAAGTCAAACCAGCATAGTAAAAAGTGAGAAATTAGGGACCCACAAACATATACGTGCGTCCTCGATCACGGCCACAGAGCAACTCCCAATAGTAAAGGTGCGATAAGGAAGATTTACTTCTATTCTCACTATATAAGGCATATTAATTTTATTTGTCACTAATTACGTTTCTTTTGCGGCCGTGTTGCGACATAAGCCGTCCGATGTTGCGTGAGAGCAAATATTGACCGAAGGTTTTTTATTCCAGTTTTGCACCTGATTTTTTATTTATTTAATTATAAATCTATTTAATAATTATTGATTTGTGCGCAGGCATCGGGCTGGTGGCGCTGAATCGCGAGCTGGGCTGCCTGGAGCCCAACATCAGCCCAGACGCGCTGCCCGTGCAGCTCATCCGTCACGTCAACGATCTTTTCTCCGCCCTCAACGAAACTGAAGTGAACTTTCATTTCTGGAAGTATTTCCGCACGGCGTCGTACACGAAACTCGAGGAGTCGCACGCCGCCTTCCTCGAGTTAGTGCACTTGGTGTGTGTGTGTAGAGCTGGTATGCGCGTCTGACGTGTGCAGCTTGTGTGTGCAGTTGGTATGTGCTGCTGGTGTGTTCTTATCTCAGCTCATCATATCTCCTGGTATCATATGTGCATTCTTTATCATAACGTTAGGTGCGTCACATGAACGTCACAAATCTCAAACTTTGGTTCAATGTTTGTTACCCAACAACTTTGGATTGTCCGGCATGCGGCACTGATAGCCATGAAGTCAATTTGCCAAGAAAGTGGAGAAACATTAATTTCTTCTGCGTTAACAATAGCAGTCGTGTTGTTGGAATGTGTAACTTTTCTATCTTTGACTCCGCTCCTGAAATGCTGCGATAATTAACAGGAACTTGGTAGTGCACATGACTTTTTTTTTATTATTTTATCACTGGAGATTTTACTAAGGCGAGGAATGATAAGATAGATTAAAATAATTTGGAATAAATAATCTTACGCTCATCGAGTCTCAAAAGTAACCAATGTCCTCAGATGCATTCTACTGCGCCTTGTCATTAATCCAAGACTCTTTGTGCGATCCATAAGTAAATACTGTTTGTCCTCTAATTTGCATACTGGAACTTGTTAAATGTTATCATATTTTAGGAAAAATTGCAACATTCCAATGCTAAAGTTAACCAAATGACACTTGTATATAGAATAATTGATACAGTGCTGCTTCAGTACTAATATTGTTTTGAAGAATCTGGATAGAGCAAAAGATTTTACGGAATTTCCCTGTGTCTGGCAATGATGCTATGTTTACGACCTCACGAATGTCCTCAGACTCGCGGCTGGGGCGATACGGGAGGCCGAGGCCCGCCTGGAGGAGGCCAAGGCTCTGGGGGACCCCGACCGCCAGCTCACCATCATGGAGACCTTCCTAAACACGGAGGGCCTCAGCCGCAGCGACGTCGCCACCATGATCCTCGATATGCTCTTCGCCGGCGTAGACACGGTGGGGACCGGGACATACTGCCATATGGGGCCAGCCTTATGTTGTCCTCAGTAGCGTAGACACGGTGGGGATCGGGACATACTGCCATATGGGGCCAGCCTCATATTGTCCTCAGTGGCGTAGACACGGTGGGGCCCGGTACATAATGCCATATGGGGCCAGCCTCATATTATTTGAGGACACTTGGGCACTGAGGGACGTTCATGTGATCCGCATCAATCATGAGCTTATCCAGAATAACATTCACTATTTTGTTTTAATACTCATCAGGCTATTGTCATCGACGAATTTATAGCTGACGCAAAATGGAATTAACGTTCGTATTATCCTAGGTCTTGGTTTTCTTTCAATTTCCAGACCTCTCACACGGTAGCCTTCGCCCTGTACCTGCTGGCGCGCAACCCCGAGGTGCAGCGGAGCCTGCAGCGGCAGGTGGACGCCGTGGTGAGGAAGGGCGAGCCCCTCACGCCGGAGCACCTCGCCGCCCTCAGCTGCATCGTCAACGCCGTCAAGGAGACCCTCAGGTGCCCTCCAAACAGCTGACATTGCGGTCAGATACAGCGCTAGCTGTACAAAACTAACTTTGCCTAAGGAGAACATCAAATCGTGAACGACGCTTCTAAGATATTGCGCACATTTTCTGTTCGTTTCCGCTGTCTCTGCGATGCGTGTTTGCGTCTCCCACTCGAAATGTTGCTTATTTTTTAGATTAATTAACAGATGCTCGTACCTGACGTGAGATCCGCTTTATGAATGATTTGTTTGGCTGAACAATTTTAAATATAGAATTCAATTTAACTCTATATTTATGGCAGCAAAAGCTCCAGTTAACGGCTGCTGTTTTGTGCCTGGTCGCTCTTTTATGCTGTTAATTTCCGATTCACACAGGATCTCGTCAGTATTTTTCCATCCGCACACACAGAATATTATACGTTTATTGCTGAACAACCGTCATGACTGCCAGGCGGAAAAAGTTTGTATCTTAAATTCAGAGTGAATTCTTTTTGCAGACTGTATCCCCTGACTTTGGGGAACGCTCGTGTACTGACGCACGACATCGTCATGTCGGGCTACAAGGTCCCCGCTGGGGTGAGTGTCGGGCTACAAGGCCCCCGCTGGGGTGAGTATCGGGCTACAAGGTTCCCGCCGGGGTGAGTGTCAGGCTACAAGGTCCCCGCTGGGGTGAGTGTTGGGCTACAAGGTCCTCTTCGGGGTGAGTGTCGGGCTACAAGGTTCCCGCTGGGGTGAGTGTCGGGCTACAAGGTCCCCGCCGGGGTGAGTGTCGGGCTACAAGGTCCCCGCTGGGGTGAGTGTCGGGCTACAAGGTTCCCGCTGGGGTGAGTGTCGGGCTACAAGGTCCCCGCTGGGGTGAGTGTCGGGCTACAAGGTCCCCGCTGGGGTGAGTGTCGGGCTACAAGGCCCCCGCCGGGGTGAGTGTCAGGCTACAAGGTCCCCGCTGGGGTGAGTGTCAGGCTACAAAGTCCCCGCCAGGGTGAGTATTGGGCTACAAGGTCCCCGCCGGGGTGAGTGTCGGGCTATAAGGTCTCTGCCGGGGTGACTGTTGGGCTTCAAGGTCCCCGCTGGGGTGAGTCCTGGGCTACAAGGTTCCCGCCGGGGTGAGTGTCCGGGCTACAAGGTCCCCGCTGGGGTGAGTTTCGGGCTACAAGGTCCCCGCTGGGGTGAGTGTCGGGCTACAAGGTCCCCGCTGGGGTGAGTGTCGGGCTACAAGGTTCCCGCGCCATGAATCGTGCTACTGTACACACAACAAATGCTGGGCGAGCTTCTTTCATGTCTAAAATTATTCTGCATAGACTGGCACGTTAATCTAGTGCGTCATAAAGTTTAAAAAAAAATTCATGCCGGTAACCAAATATTTTTCCATTTAAATGTCGGATTAATTTTGCATTAAAGATATCGGAATTGACCTAATGTCACTCCTCTAAGCCTATGATATACATATTATCACCTGATTTTGTTTTTATGTGGCAATAAACCCAGGCTGAAGCTTGCAACGCTTCAAACTTGCGTAAAACGCTTTTTTGGAAGAGCGTAGTTTGTTATATTTGTTTTGAGTTTTCTAATTGTTCGAATGCTGAAGTCTTTCATATCCTTAAGTATTTTAACCCGAGAGGATTTCTTAGAGTTTTTGTTGTCTCCTTTTTATTTTTCCTTCACCATACGGTGCCTCTACCCCTGCCTAGTAGCTCGTGCATTTCCAGGCGCGTGCGCCATGCTTCTTCGATCTTGTTTGACGGAATCATAATTTGAACTTAATCTGCGTTTCATGTACTGAATATTATTGGAGCGCAATTGTGCATCATTGTCACCGTAAGAAGTTCATCCAAAAGCAACCTTAATGTTCATCTCATATGTTTTCGATGACAATCAACCTAATATTTTCCTGTATTTGCAACATCAGTCAGAAGCACAAGTTTTAGATATGCTTTTGTTGCAGACGCTGGCCATGGGCTTCAACTCTGTGATATCCCGCATGGAGGAATACTTTCCTCGGCCCCTGGAGTTCCTGCCGGAGCGGTGGCAGCGCGACCGCCCCTACGGCGCCATCCATCCCTTCGCGTCGCTGCCCTTCTCCCACGGCACCAGGATGTGCATCGGCAAGCGTTTGGCCGAGCAGGAGATATACACCTTCCTCATCAGGGTGAGAACTGTGATCCAGTGTTGTGGCGGACCTGTTGTCGGGAGGAGCACTCAAGGATCTTCTCTAGCTTACTTGTTTGAATTAAATAAGTTTACGTGCGTATATAGTAAGGAATAGTATGAGACGAACAGAGTGTTTGATTCTTTGTAAGTAACTTCATGGCACGGGTTCATGTCGTGTTGACATATTCTTATTTCATTAAGCGTCACCAAAGCGCCAGTTCCTCGTTACTCTCCCTGCGCCCTCATGGCCAGCAATCTGCACGCATCCATGCAGTCTTGGGAGTCGTTCCATTTGATCGTTTTGCTCTTGTATCAGTTCTAGCGGTACCTCTGAGACGTCCATGACGTGCTCTGGTTCAATTAATCTCCCTACGCTCCTTTGTTAAATTCTATTTTTTTCCCTAATGTAATGTATTCAAACAACATCATTCATGTTTAAAATGAAATGCGTGCCCTTGAGCGTTAGCCCTCTTAACTGGGTTCTGAAATCCTATGTTTCACTTTCCCTTCATGTTATTTTGTCGCGCATGAATGGTGGGATTACTAAGAGTTCACTGTTACTGACGTTCTTCTATTCAGCACCGCGTCTCGTATTTTCCTTTTACTGCGTGACGTCACTTCACTTATCATATTTCTCAAAAATGGACTGGACTTTCCCCACCATGTTCCCATGGTGTTCTAACATATCCCGATCCTGCTCAGTAGATACTGTATTATGTGAAAACTTACGGACGCCTCAGAAAATTGATATCTTAGCACTGCCTTTCTAGCCAGTCTCTTAAACACGCTTCTACTGGACAATCTATACCGCCAGGTGCCCTTCCGTGTTCTCTTCAAAAGTCCCTAGTCTCTGCATTCAAAGTAATCTTGCTTTGGTTCTCCGATCTGTTACCCAGCAAAAGAGTGTGCGTTAAACTACGAAGCGTCTGTAGTTTTCTCGCTTACGGTGGCGCTCGTCCGTTCGACTAACGTCCCTCTATAGAAGTCCTTTGTTTACCTCGTACATTTTGCTCACAGCTTCTAAGTATTCATCTTACTTTTCCAAGGTGCACCAGTTGAATCCGCAGATAAATACCGATCAAATAAGTTCGCATGTATTCTCCGTCCAGGAAAGTTCAAATATTGCATTTACTTCAAGAATTTGTACGCTACTCAACAAACCTGGAGAATTAACCTTTACTTGTGACTAATATCAATGTTCAGATGTATCCAAAATCCAAAGATTTACCAATTAGTGTTAGGTAGGGCCATGAAAATTTATAAGGTATTTTGCTTCGATTTTTTTGTTGTATTCCCTGCGTTTCAGATGCTGCAGAAGTACACGGTGACGTTCGAGTCTGACGAGGAGATGGAGGTGAAGACGCAGCTTGTCCTCAAGCCCGCCACTCAGCTCGCCTTCAAGTTCCACCCGAGGAAGTGATATAGCGGTTATATACCGCGTTTCTGCGTTTAATTGGCCGTAGGCCTGTCGCCAATTCGTAACATTGTAGAACATCTAAAGCTTGTTGCGGGCTTGAACTCGAAACACTGCTTCAAATTTGCTTTGTTTAACCGTCCGGCCTCCTCGCCGATTCTGACCAGAAACTGGCGCACAGAGCTGGGATCGAACCAGCACCTCCCTGCTCCAATCTTGGTACCCTGAACTTCAAACACTAAGTCCTCACGAATTTTCCACAACTCCTGACGAGGAAATGGAGGTGAGGACGCAGCTTGTCCTCAAGCCCGCCACTCAGCTGGCCTTCAAGTTCCATCCGAGGAACTGATCCGCCCTCACGAATTAGGGTCTAATCTTGGCTTACGTTTCGTGTTGGTACATGCGGGCCCTGATTGTGGCAAGCTGTCAACAGCACGTCCTCGTATCATGCTGTCAACGGCGCGCTCGAGTATCATGCTGTCAACAGCGCGTAATGCTACAGACAAACCACAAGTGCCTTCGTCTCAGCATCATCAGTTCCTGCTGCCCTGCAGTTAACTGCCAACCTGTGTCGCAGGAGCGGACGGTAATAATCTTGTTGTAATCAGCACGAGGCGATCCGTTTAATTAGATAGGCAGTAGTTGTAAGGTGATCAGCTGGAGAGCATGCGACTTTATTGAAATATATTTAATCGCGATACTCATCCCTGCAGGTAGGCTTCCTGTATTATTCAAATATGCAGTCAAAATTTCTAAGTTTTTCATCGATCTTATTTTTATATTTAATATTAATTTATTTTGTCATTTAATATTTAATATTATATTTTATTTATTATTTCAGCACAAACGTTTTCATCAACTAATTTTAGCTCAATCATATTTATTTCATGCTCGGAAAGTGTGAGTAGTCAGTCCACGAACGACTGAATTCTCTCATTATGCAACTCGATAAAACTCGACCATGATCGCTATTCGACTATAAGATGGCTTTGTCACACTGTACAGGGTCATCAATATTTAGCGTTATAACTTTGAGTGGTTATAACTATGAAATGAAACACAATTGCGAATGTTTGAAAATATATTTATGTAGGCAGAGGTTCAGAGATACAATTCCAACAATTTCATTCAATTTGTCCACCATCTGCATCAATAACGAGTTGTAGACGCTTAGAGAAGATGTAGACGCCTTACACGAGTCACGAATGACACTCTGCGGGATTTTGGCCCACACCTTCAGCAGTTTGACCTCTAGGGCGTCCAAACTGCTATGGTGAACGGTCGAGACCTTGCTCTCAAAGTATGACCAGATCCCAAAATCCAGAGGATTCAGATCGGGTGACGATGGTGGCCATTCATCTTTAGTAATGAAATGGGGAACATTCTCGGACAGCCACTCCTGAGTCGATTTGGCCCCATGTGATGGTGCAGAGTCCTGCTGGAACGACCATGGGCGTTTTTTGAAGTGCTTTCGTGCCCAGGGCAACAATGCACCAACAAGGATGGCATCTCGATAGATCTTCTGATTCAATTTCACCCCTTTGTCAACAAAAAAGAGGGGACTCCTTGAGGACTCTCTTACGGCTGCCCAGACCATCACTGAAGTCGGGCATTGCTTCCTAGTCAACACGGAATCCTTCGTCCCATTCTTCGACCAAATTCGATAATTTTGGGATATGAAGTGTTGTTCAACATTGAATATCTTCTCATCACTGAAAACGAGGTTTGGCAGCGTGTCATCATGAATGCGGGAAAGAAGAATCTTGGATCTTTGGAGGCGTTTGTCAACAACTTGAGCAGACAGTTGGTGTTTTTTTGACATGCTCGAATGGGGACAACTTTAGGTCCTTCCGGAGAACAGTCGACATGGTTCCATACGATACATTTGACTGTTTTGCGAGTGTATTGATTTTGAAAAAATAATGTAATGCTAAATATTGATGACCCTGTAAATTAAATTAATTATTTTTTAGAATATTCACTTGTATGGCTTCCTGGAGATTATTTTGTCGTGCCCCAAGCAGTTGATAGTGCAATATATATTTATCTGCTGCATGTGTCGTGTCTGATCACTCGTTTTTGATGAGCTGCCGTGAGTGGTTCCTGCTCTAGGGCAAATTTACGTCGTCTTTCCTAACCGGAATGATTTATATGTCAACTTATTAGTACAATTGTTGACAAGTAGTAGTGGTAGTAGAAGAAGGTTTGCTAGCGCTAAAAACGGCCATATAATTCGCACTGGAGCCCTGTTATTATAATTTACTTATTTCATGCTTTGGAAGGCGGTTAGTTATAGGTCCTAACGATGCCTGCCCGGCGCGCTTCTGTAAACACGTGTCCAGAAAAGAGGCTTACTATTTTTACTTCTTTTACTAAATTGAATTAGGATAATAACTTCTCCTATAAATGCCCAACCTAATTTATTTATGTTTACTCTATCATCATGCGAATTGCTCGCTGCCATCGATTAGTGAATTCCATAAGTTAATTTATTTTGTGGCACACCTTGACAGTTAATATTATTTGTAATGTACAGCTATCTTTTATTTTAGGTGATAAGTTTGTTAATTTATTTAGTATTTTCTATCTAATAGTTATCTATGAATGGACTCAAAGACCAGCCCCAGCTAGTGCCTGATATAGTCAATGAGAGAGGACGACACGACGGGTTTATAGCCAGTCAAAAAAAAATATAACTCAGTACTCACTGCAGTGAGTGACAGAGAGCGCATTTTCTCGTCAACGAAAACGTGAAGTCACGGACGGACGGATGGACGGACATGACGAGCACAATAGCGCCTTTTTTCCATAAATAAGAAAATGCGCTAAAAACTAGCCAGTACGTGTTGCGACAATGGGAGACTAACTGAGCTGAAGAATCAGTAGAGCTTAACTAAATATAATATACAGTATATACTACTATTGATATGTAGAGGTAACCATCATATGCTATTGTTATGTTAGACATTAAACTCTGTTCCTGCGTTGAACGTTACTTTTCACCAATATGTTATATTCTCATCAAAGAAGCATTTCTGAAATAACTTTTCTTATGTCGCTGGACATTTTTTGTTAATCCAACTATAAATTTTATTTGGGAGAAAACGACGATATTTTTAATTTGCATCATTGTACTAAATTCAAACGATTTATCGTAACAAAATATAAAGTTTCTATTATCGCCTTCGCTATAATTTCATAGCCTTGGTGTACTACCGAGTGTTCTGTGTTGGCAAGTTGTGTTGCTTGTTACTGGAAGATCCTTTCCTTACGTCAACAATCTGCTGTCTTGCTTACCGAATTGCTGCATAATTCGGTTAGAATACGAAGGGCCTTTTAACCCGTAACCACGCGAGCCCGGTTTATTCTAACCCCGATGGGGTTATGGGTAACCTTCCCCATGTTCCGAGGACACGGCGGGCCACAGCAGCCTACGCTGCCGTCCCCACCGTGCCTACGTGTCACCCCCGTTAGTCTGAATATTCGGGCTGGACTAATTTGGCATGATTGAATCTACCAGGGAAACCCCGACAACACAGCCCCAGCCGTCATTGCATTTCGCAAGCCCTCCCCCACGTCAAGGACGGGGCGGCATGAGTAGGGTTTATTGATATATTTTTGTTGCTTCATCGTCACATCTTGTCCGACTGTCACGCAGGAGCATTTTCTCAAGCAATATCGATTGAATTTTATTTGCTGACGTTAAATTTTATTAATGAGAAAACCCCGGTATTTTGTAATCTGCATCCTTGTACTAAATTCAAACGATTTATCGTAACAAAATATAAAGTTTCTATTATTGCCTTCGCTATAATTTCATAGTCTAGGTGTGATACCGCGTGTTCTGTGTTGGCAAGATGTGTTGGTTGTTACTAGAAGATTCTTGTCTTACGTCAGCAATCTGCTGTCTTGCTAACTGAATTGCTGCACAATTCGGTTAGAATACGAAGGGCCTTTTAGCCCGTAACTACCCGAGCCCGGTTTATTCTACCACGATGGGGTCATGGGGTAGCCTTCCCCATGTACCGCAGACACGGCGGGCCACAGCAACCAAAACTGTCGTCCCCCACCGTGCCCACTTGCCACCCCCGTTAGTCTGAACACTCGGGTTGGGCCAATTTGTCATGATTGAAACTACCAAGGAAACCCCGACAACACAGCCCCAGCCGTCATTGCATTTCGCAAGCCCTCCCCCACGTCAAGGACGGGGCGGCATGAGTAGGGTTTATTGATATATTTTTGTTGCTTCATCGTCACATCTTGTCCGACTGTCACGCAGAAGCATTTTCTCAAACTATATCGGTTTAATTTTATTTGCTGACGTTGCGTCGCACTTTAACGCTGACGTCGCGTCGCCTTATGAGTTGAGACTATGTTTTGAGAAAGACGCGACAAGATTTTAATCTTTCGTCGTTCTAATTTTAAAGTAACTCAAGTGGTTATAGTAACTCAAGTTTATGACGCCGCATATTGTAACGCGACCTCCGTAACACTATGCTGGGCATGAGAATATCCAGTGGCGCAGCTTTTCAACTGCAATGGCTTTCACAGTGAAAGGGCACTCTGAGGAATTTGCAGCATGGGATCCCTTGCAAGTTGGCACTGCTTCTCAGCTGATGTACTAACTGTGTGCTCACTGGATCCAGCACATAAAAGACCACCTTCTAGAAGAATTACAACCCTCTGCTAAGTGCCACAATCTTTGGCATCTGTAACACCTCAATGGAGGAGCCGCAAATGGTCTTACTGTGTAGGGCACATATCCAATTCTGAATTCTGCCCTGGCTAGGCAATGTCTGTCCCTCAAATGTTGCCTGCAGAGTAGCTGATGCCTCACGTATTCCGTTGCGAAGTATGGTGAGTCGAGTAATGCTAGCAATGACAGTAGTATTCAGCAATTGCAACATCCCACTGGGTCCCGCTTCAAGTCTATACCCACACTGTTATCGATTGGACCTTGAACTCCACACACTCGGACATCAGATCCAACCTGGTAGCCGGCGAACTGCCCATTTTCCAATCATGCACACCGGTAAAAAGTTGCACACCTGATTTCAATTGGGCCCTCCAGGTAATTCAGAGCGTTGGGTCCCTGAGGCTTCACCAAGATGGTTTGGCCAGATCTTCAGCACTCAGCAAAGTTAAATTTCATGGTACCTTTACCTCTAATCGACCTCGAGTTCCCTTGGGATGACCAGACACTGGTGCACCAGGTAGCCTTTTGCTATTCACAGCTGAGCGTTTTGCTCTACTGCCAGGCAGACTCGCAAATTGAACCAACTGAGTTACGGCTCCTACGCTTACGAGCGAAAACAGCAGAGGTAGCCTCAACAATACTGTCGCTGTCAGGGTCCGAGTCCTCAACAACAGAGGCTCCAGAAACTGCACCAACACCATCCATCATCTCAACCAACTCACAAGTGTCCACCACCGCAGGACGCAGATGACGCCGGAGAAGGCTAAAACAGGAACCAGCAAGGCAGCCGGAATCTCCCATGTTAAACCAACTTTAACAGTCAACTACTTATGAAAAAACTATAGACATAAAAAAGATAAACGAAACAAAATTGATAAAATGAAAAGAGATATTAATAAAATAAATAAATACCTAAAAATAAAAACTTCAGCAAAGCAGGCTGGCAAACCTCTGAGGGAGTAAGCCAGTCGTATTTGAAAAGAATCAACCTTGAATTAATGATTTTTATAAATAAGTTCATATGAAAATCTTCCGAAAATGAATTCACCGGTTTTGAGAATGCTCAAATGACACACGTGCTTTCGCCGTGAACGCAACTGAATTTCTCCCACGAGCAATTAATGCTCCACGCAATCCGACTTGAAAGTAAACATAACCCAGCACGCTGATTTGCTAATAGCCGGTGTCTTTTGAAAGTATTCGTTTAGCTAAGTCTTGCGTACAAAAGTTTTGAAGGTGTCATGGACGCTAGACTTGTTCGTAAGTACCAGAAGCTACGTACACGTAGCGCTGTTTTGAAAGTACCTGCCCAGGTCTTCAACAATTCGTGCTCTGTGTCAGATCTTCAACAATTCGTGCTCTGTGTCAGGTATGCAACAATAATTCGTGCCGTGTGTCAGGTCTTCAACAATTCGTGCCGTGAGGACATCAACAATTCGATTGAGAGTGACAATTCTAATGAGGAATCAGGATCGGCGTCGTGAGGCTGACATTGATAGGATAATGTCCGGTCTTGTTCTGTTGACATGAATTGACAAAATAAATACAAAACGGAAAATGTAACAGAAACTCTAGGAACAGAAAGAAATCGCTCACTAATTACCACGTTTTTCTTAGCTCGCTTTAGTGTCCGTCTGTCTGTTTGTGATGATCAAATCTTGCAATCGATATTTCACCAACTTTCCCGCTAGCTAGCGCTCTGAAACTTTTAGGGAAGCTCAGCTCCCGATGACAATACAATAATCAATAATTTGTTGCACATTTCCAGGCGTATTTATTTAATGAAATGTCGACCGAGAAATTGTGGACGCTGCTGCCGCGGTGACGCGGTGCGCCGCTGTTGTGATGGCGAGCAAAGCCAGGCTTAAATACAAGACCATTTCAGGACCCGCTTGCCTAACTAATATTACATTCACTCAGCGCCGTTCATTCATTGCTTCTTTTATCGTATTCTAATGTCTTTCATTACCGAACCTTTCTTTATTACAGCCACGATAAATACGGGAACAACAATGTATCCCCTCGAATACAATTTTCTACAGAACTTCGAAAAGAATTTTCTTTCGTGCATTTGCGTGGCCAACTGAAATAAAATGAATATTATGTAGGATGGCTGACCTTTGTGCAGTAGTTATAAACTCTAAAGGAACTCACAAGCAGGGGTTGGGAACCTTTTGAACATGCTTTTGCAAAGCCCACATTTATTTTCACTGTGAAAAGTGTAACAATTTTGTTCCAGGTACGTCGATCGCGCCTTCTGGAAGCGCAGTAATTTAGTAAATCGACTCCTGTTGGAAATTTCCTTATTTCTTATTCGATAAAATTTTAGTTTTTTCTCCATACCTTTTGAAAGGTATGGGCATGTGAATAGTGTAGTCCTTCCTCAATAAGAAGAACTGAGTTCTTCTTCCAGCATAAATTCATTACTTGCTTCGAAGTCTAACTTCATTTCTACTCTCATTTTTACCCATTTATGGCCTCTTAATTGCCTCATAAAATTATAAACATCTGGTCCCAGAAGATTTTAAGGCGGGTTCAAAAAGGAGCAATTAATGCAGTGACACAGTGAAATACAATTTAAGGTTTTTCGTACTCGATACTCGATTCATATTTGCTATAGTCTCAACCTATTTTTGTTTCTCTAAAATAACTGTTTCTCTGGAGGGGACCGTCTGGAACTTTCTGGCTCGAGGGCGAGACTACTTATTTGTTTGCATCTATATGTTTGAGGTGTGTTTTCTGATTAATTACTTATCTATACACGTTCGTATACATATTGTCGAAGCTTGACATGTTGTTATTACCATATGATTTGTGCTTTCCCATTGCTGGACGCTTTAGAGTGTCGTTCATTTCATTTTACAGTTATGTTAGGCCGGGTATTCGTCTTATACGACGAAGCAGTAGGGCAACATGGGGCAGCGCGCCCCCCCCCCTTTTTTTAAACTAAATTTTTGATGAAGTTTTAATAGATACGAGGTGGTTCGTTGTTTTGTTTAAAGGTACAACTAATGAGGAATGTATGATGTGAATTAGACGTCTATAGGTTTATTCAATTTTTAACGAAACACCATTTTGTAAAAAATGTCAAAATGGGCCCATTGCCCCACCCCTGGGGCAATGGGCCTATGGGCTTGGGGCAAGGCGCCCACCCTTGGTCCCTTTACCGCAAATGCATATTTTTCTTTTTAAAATTAAAAAAAACACTTTACAGTTAAAAATAAGAAAATGTAATAGAAAAATATGACATTCACTCATTTATTAACAACTCAAAAAATCATATACTTAACTTGAAAAAAATATACTTTTGGCTTAAAAAAATCTATCACTGACGTTAAGAAAAATATTTCATTGACATAAAAATATATATCCTTGACTTGAAAAATATATCCTTGCGATAAAAAATTCGTCCTTGACATGAAAAAATGTATCCTTGACTAGAAAAAATATATTTAGTTGATCAGAAAAAACTTCTAGCAACAAAAAAATTTTTAGCTGGACTAAAACAGTTATTCACAAATAACTTAATAACGCAAACACTTAGCAAAACGTAAATCCGTACACTTCATCGCAGTGAAACTGTCGACCGGCGATATAGAGAACACGGACGAATATCTGCCATACTTAGCGAGAAACCCGCTATGGGCCCATAACCCGCAGTGGGCTCGCTGCCCCATGTTACCCTACTGTTTTAAAGACCTATAGCTGCTTTCCTCCCGATTTCTGTACACGAGAACGCGTGCTCGATCTCTTTCCTCGAGTCTTCTTGAAATGAGACGTAGAACGCGAATAAAAGTTTAATTCGTACATCGCCTTTGTCTAAAGCCTAAAACTCCGCCAAAAGTTTATTCCCATTGCTATGACTTCAAGCACACTATGTTCTCTGCAGTAAGTGTAATAGTTTTATTCACTTATATTTGAACCATGTCATCTCATTCTTGACTTAAAATCGATATTCTTCATTACTGTTCATTGCAATCGAAAAGTGGTCGTGATTTTTGTTGGGGCAAAAGCTAATATAGACAAATAATTATTTTAAAAATTTTTATTTGGACTGCTTATGAGCGTCACCATCTCGAAAAAAATGTTGAAATATAATTGATGTTCATTCACTGAGGGAACAGTTTATTGGGGAAACTCTCTTCATTATTAAATTTAAATTTAAGCAGGAGGCACAACGAAGCTGCTGAAACTCTTGACAGGAAGGTCCGTGTTGATGAAGCGCGACCCGTCGATGCTGATGCTCACGCTCTCCACAGCGTCAGACCTGGGAATATTTAGTTATTCGATGAAAATATGAAACAAACTTTATTATATTTCAAATCTACGTATATTGTACTCTTAAATCGTTGATGGAAGGTGTTAGTATAATAACAGAGAGACAAACAAAAGGACTCACGTGCTGAGTACCACAATGGCCACCGAACCATCAGGTCTAGAGACCGCCGCTGCCTTCAGGGCGCCGCTGACGGCAGTGTCGACGCGGACACTATCGCGGGTGAAGAACTTGCTGACGTGCGCCAGCGCGTAGTGCATCGGCTGCTTGTAGAACTCGTCGGCATCCTTTAGAAATCGGTCAATTGCAGAATTTATAGCGACAACAAAAATCTATTACATCGAAGTAAATTTAATTCGGAAACACACACATCTCACAAACAAGGAAATAATCATTTAATTAAATGATTATTTTAATTAAATTTAAAGTCAAGTTAATTTAATGTCAAACTCAAAGCATGTCTTAGGACGTGTTCTTACAGCGTTGATGATGATGGGAGAGTCCATTGCGCCACCAGGCCAGTGGGGACCTCCTACTTGATTCAAGGCGATGTTCCAGTCCAACCATCCGACGGAGTAGTAGTTTATATCCTATTCAGCAACAAGCGAGATCATTTAGCGAGACGTCAAGTAGCTACAGAAAAGTCAATTCAATAGGAAATTCATATCATTATTCATGTCGTACACTATTGAGTATTATAATTTGGTTGAATTGAATATTCGACTGCGATTAATGCCTGATCAATTTTTTTCGAAAATCTGCTGCAATATGGAAGTGAAACCATATCACATTCTGATTCATTGATAGCTTGGTAGTCTAAATGAATCCGAAATGAGATGATTATTTGTTATAGACGTTATTATATGTGAGGAGCCTAGCTTCAGTAAATTAGTAGCAATGCTGTTTGCCGCACCTCGAGTATGTCGGTGACGTAGCGCTCAGCTCTGGACCAGTCACCCAGGTAAACGCTTTCTGGGTTGTCCACGAAAACTCCTTAGGAATGAAAATAAATCTTTTATGAAGCTGGAATATATTTTGTTTTTACGCACACAGAAAAGAAATTGTATGATTTCAAACCCAAATTGTGTTGAAGCTTGTACTACCTGCGTAAAAACGATTTAATTGTGTAGATGTAAAATCCACGACACTAATGAAATTTATTTGATGCTTTTTATGAAGAAAATTATTTTAATTGAGTTTGTCCACTTGATGATGCAGTTAATTAAGGAACATAACATACAGTCACACGGATCCGCATTGTCAATTACCGTAATATGTCGGTTGTTTGACCGTTTCTGTTAATTCAACACTCCTGCAGTTTGTTTCCCCTATGACCAAGTTATAGGGCATCTTCAGCTTCAATAAAATTCTACCACAGCATCGTCTCCTCACCATCAGCGTCCGCACTGGCTGTCATCACTAAATTCGTTTACGTATGCCTCGGCTGACCGCCATCGGTATACGTGTGTACTATATCCACTTTCTCTCACTGACCGTTATCAGAGATACGCGATGCTCTTGCTACCGTTTACCATTTAAAGTGTACGCGTACAGTACTATATATTACTGACCGTTACAAGCTTCAGTGTACAGGATGAACTTGGACGGGTCGAGGTCTCTGGTTTGGAGGAGGACGTCCGGGGAGATCCACTGGTCGGAGTACCAGTGAACGGCCACGCCTGAGATGTACTTGCTGCACTCAGGGTCACTCAGCAGCTGGTGTTAAGTGAAATTTAATTTAATTATTACTTAGAATATGATACAATGAAAGGCATGTAATTCTTTGATATCAATCATACAAAATTTAACTGAACTGCCATCGCAATAATTTTTTGTGATAACGTTTAAAAATAAATCAAGAGAATGGTAAAAATTACTTTCGAGATTTTTAATGTCACCCTGTGATATAAGTGATGACGGCTCGATTAAATTAATGGTCACGTTAACACAAACAATGTTTGACGAACAGGTTCGATGGTGTGAGGCAGCTTGTCCCTGTTGAAGTCATTGACCATCATTGTGAGGCGGCCGTAGCCTGAAGCCTCCAGCGTAGGCCCGAGGTAGTCTCGTATCCAGACCCGCATGTCCTCCGGCAGCCACTTGCACGAGTTGATGCCCCATTCCTGGCTCCACAAAATATTATCATCAACCATAAGGTCGACCTACACCATATAACCAATTATCAAGCAATACTCCGCATTTTGAAGAGAGGAGGTCCAAATCACCCATGGTGTTACAGTCATTAGAATCAATGTTTAAGTTAAAGAGTTATTTCAACACAGTCGCTGTCTAGAGAATATACACTAATAAAAAATGTATGTGATTTACTCACGCGCTGTACTCATAAATATAACAATTAACCGCTCATATTCAAGTTTTTGAGGTACAAAATTCACGGATGATTTATGAATGAGCATTGATGTATTGTAAATTATATCCATAAATGATTTCCAAACAACCTTAAAAATGCAATCACGATCGTGACTGATAGTGACCAAGTATAATATATTTTTCCTTTACCTTCTACTGTATTTCATCTTAGACTACTTTCTGAATTACACTGTGGTTCTAATACGTTTCTATATACGTTATATTTATATAAGTTTGTTGCGTGTTAACTCCGGAATCACGAATCACTTATTCCATTCCAGTGAGTCATTCATTGATGAAGTGATCCTCGCTTTAATGCAACTTACAGTTTCGTCAACCAGAGGCTCGTTTTGGGGCGTAAGGCCCCACAGCGGCACCCCTGCTGCCTCGTAGGCCTCCGCCCACCTGACATGCGATTGATTTCCACACATCACATCATCACATAATGGTTTAGATTTCGTATCGTCGTAGCCATGATATTTTTCACTCCGTCAAATGTGATGGCAAGGCAAATTGGACAGCGAATATACAAGTAATAAGTTGTAGTTTTTGACATTAAAGTTAGCTATTTTTTTAGTTTCTGGAAAGTTTATGCTGAGATCGAGATGAATATTTACTCTAAGTGTTTTTACTGGCGAGGGTCTTCACCTTGGAATTAAGGATGACCGCCCAAAATCTTCATTCGGTCTTTTTTATTCCCGCAACTCTCTAGTGGGGTGCACTATTTTACTATTCAAAGAGAGTAATATGAATGTACTGTAGTTGAATATATGAATGTACTTACTTAGCGATGTAGTTTGCGTAAGGCTGCCAGTAGTCCACTATGAGGGAGCCGACCCCAGTGAACTCTCCGTTGGTCTTCATCCAAGCGGGCGGCGACCACGGCGACCCGAACACCAACACCTCGGCGCTGCTTAGCTCCTGCGCTCGCTTGATAGTCGGAATCTACATTCATACAACATCGGAGAAATTAATTAGCAATGTTTGCGGATTATAATAACGCTGAGAGTCGAACTACTGTATATTAACAATTTTTGCAGAAGTAGACATAAAATTTTTAGAATGTCTGCAGGACTTAGCCCGATGGCAATTCTCCAAATCTAGACAAAAATTTTCATCAGAGGGTACTGTGAAAATTGTTTATATCCTATCCTGAAACAAAAACAATGTGCAAATATATTATTGAATGTTTATAACTAATGTTATTGTATCGGTTAATCTCTGATGCTGAAGGTACTTTCAGAAGGCATGATGAAGTTGGAGAATATGCATCATCCATCCATCCATCTCACCTTGTCATTGATGTCTTCCGGAGCAAGCGACCAGAAGGAAAGGTCTACGTCGCCCTCGACATCGTCGAGAGAGTAAGCGCGCGTCGAGAAGTCCGAGCCGCCGATGGGCACTCGCACGATGTTGTACTCGGAGCCCTCGGGGGCGAAATATGACCTAGAGGGGCATTGAGCTCAGACATCCATAGCACATGAAATTGCGTTCGAGATTTGACCATTAATGCATAGCAATGCACGACAGTAATCTGCCAATGACGTATAGTAAGACAATGCAAACAATGAAAATCAATGTTGACATGTCCTTGACCATTAATTCCTTCTTGGCTTGGTATCAAACTCGAGTACCGTATAGTGCGTACCTGAGAGCCTTCTCTCTAGCGCCGTCCGACAGAGTGTTCAAGTTGAGACCAGCAGAATCTGTGACGGATCCACCGAAGCCCAGGATGGTCTGGTAGCGCGTGGCGGTGCTCACTGTGATCGAGTTGCTCGCGCTGCCTGTGGGTTATCCAAGATTCAGTTTTGGATCACGAATCTGAAGAAAGTATCATAAATCTTCTCTCTTGGGTTGTCACATTGCTGTTAGGATTTTTAAATAAACGACCTTCAGTTTTCGAATTATTAAGGTAGAGACAATCGCTTGATCGCCCCAGTCCGCACGATAGAAACGTTAGGTCAATTATTGACAGGTGCGAAGTCGTGACGGGTACGTGTCGTGTGTTATTTGCGTACGTTGTATTAGTGTAGGATATTAATGCGTGAGCGTTCTTGGTATACTTCTATACTATTGAGAATAGATTGATTCGTTTGCTGTTTAATCACGAATTCGTTGCAGATATCTTATACGCGTAATTGTTAGTTATCCGCCAACAGTCTTTAGCATTCTTCGGATTGTTTTTTTTCTACATCTACAGGAAAGTTTGAAGGTTAACTACAATAACCTTTGATTTGCTCTTGAACTTGAAATAAGGAATAGGTTGATGGACGATCACGAGCCATGAACGATCACGCTGATAGTTGCGCCTAGTTGACTTCTGGAGTGAGCCCACAGCATTGTGTTTACAAAGGCCAAACAACGTACCTATCTAAGAATGCCTGTCGCGTACGAGTCAAATATTGCAGGGGAAACCAATCAACATAATTACCTACCTTGTGTAGGTGCCAGGTCCCCGGAAGCTGGCTCGAGACGTAAGGCGTCCCTGGTGCTGGTGTAGACGGTGTAGGTGCCAGCAGGTGGCACTGTCACCACACCAGCCTCGTCACAATAGGTGGCATCGCACACGCACACGAAACTGTCGTGCCCATAATCCCTTCGTGCACACTGACCTGAGCATTCAAAGTATATTAAATACGACCCAAATAAGAAGTATTCCTTTTACGTGCTGAAACATGAAATTCAGCTACCATAAATTCACCTCTTGTATCGTAAAAAACGGTAAGACAAATAATTTTTTTTCAATTTCTCAATAAACAGTTTCATTCGTCCTATAGACAGTAAACGTTGCTATTTAACAACAATATTTTGTCTGGGTTTCGTTTAAATATATTACACGACTTGCGTACAGGATGAAGCCTTTGATTGCAATTTGAGGTTATTTTGAACACGTGTACAATATTCTGACCATGAGCAGTGTGCAGCAGGGCCAGGCTGGCAAAGAGCAGCAGCAGCAGCAGCGACTTCATCTTGCAGTGATGCTATAGTAGAGGACAGCTGCTTGAGCTGCAGCTAAGATATCATTTTATAGCGTCTGTGATGATGCGCCCTCAACACGTGACGCTTTCTCTGCACGATGTGCACTACGCCAACATTGCTGTACTTAACCAATCTGTTTGTAGGGGAATAGTTGGATAACGTGTGTGAATAAATTTACAGCCGGTGGACTTTCTCAAGAGGAATTAAATGACATGCGTTCGCTCCTTAGAAAAACGGTTTTTGCCGAAGAATAATCTTAATTACAGTGTTTCATCTTAATTCGAAAGAAATATTTAAATAATAGCTGTACAGGATGTTGATTCAAGTTTATAGCTGACTTCAAATTACCTAATTGTTTAGAGAAAGAAATGGTCATGTGATCGGTACCCGATTGTTTCGTGACCGTCGAAAATATTACGAACACAGATGTGAGCTACCAAAATGAAAGAATGGATGCGTCTATAAGTGCATATATGAGCACAGCAAAAATATGCCCAATGTGTTTTCCAATCCTTTGGATTTATATAGTTTCAATAACGATTAGTTCTTGCTTGTCATAATCTTACTGTTATTCGTTAGTTTAAAAGTATCACAGTCATGAAAAAATAGCAACCTAAGTTGATATTTTGATAAAGCCCCAATACATTTTCTAGTTGCCGATTAATATCTGAAGATAAAGTATAAGTACTGCAATAAATTTCATCTGCGTGATCATTAGGATGAAATAATTGCTTATGTATTATTGAGTGTCATATTTAAAAGAGTATTGTTTTATTCTGAATTTGCCTGTTTCGTCTAATCCAGTTTTCTCTTATCCCGTAGATAATTTTCAGATTAAAACACATTCAACGAATGACGTGAAGAAAAAGAAAATAGAACATGATGTTTAAACGGCGAAGAAATAAAAATGTTAGTTAAATATTTCTATTCGAACATAATCCAAACTCCAACGTTTGTATGGTCTCATGATCACATCATCAAGTTATATTTCAAACCATGTTAAGATCCCGACGCGGATGGTATTATGCATGTATACATGATGGAGTAGCTCCTATATATTTACAACGCTGAAGATGTGAACAATTTATAATTCATAATTTCCATAACAACTCGATACAATATTATTCAGTGTTAGCCGAAATGTTCACGTCCAATTATCTAAATTACTGTCTTCTTTGGTGAAAAATTAATTGTGAGAATTAAAACCTGTGATAATAGACATGATAGGTACATGGTGATTCCCGTAAATTTCCTGATTCGAAAGCTCAATAAAAAAGAACTATTAAAGATATCATTACAATATAAATTTTTCGAAAGAGACATTACTTTTGTATTGAATTTTTTATCACCTAGATTTAAAGATGATATCGGACAAATGACAAATATTGTAAATGCATAAAGATAGTCGCTTTTTATAGGTTCCGTTCAACTCGCTGAAACATATTGACGGGTGTTGTGGCGATGGCTTGCATGCGTATGTTGTTCTTCAAATGAGGTAGGGAGGTAGTGTCCTTGGACAGTGATTTAACAATTAAGTGATTTTAATTAAGATAACCCCCTTGAAAAATAAATCACGCGGAACCAAATCAGGGATCGGGCGGCTGAAGAAGGTCACCTCTCAAAGAGACGAGACGCTCAGGGAAATGTTGTCTCAGACGTAGACAACTCTGTAAAACGGCCATTAGGACAGTACGCCTCAACAGCAAACGCACGCTGCTCACTTGTCCAATGAATACCGGCAACAGATTAGGCGGGACACAAAACCTCATGCCCTCGCCTTTCATATGAAATACTTCGAGCCCTTTTCCTACAACACCAAGAAAAAAAAGTTTCCGTGAAACACCTCGTACAACAAGCTTTATGTACTCTACTGACATTGATTTTATAGGAGAGTGGAGGCAGGCGTCTAAGGATAGTGAAGCTGAAACAAGAAGTCTATTGACATTGTGAGCTATGTTGATTCTTCTTTATTATTTGGACCAGATCCAAGCTCATGTTGAGAGCAGTGTCAGCTTCATGTTTGTTGTTATGAAGGGGTTTATCAGTTCAGTTTCTCTCCATGATATGGGCGGCGAACTCGTGAGAACGCACCGAGAAGATAACGTCCACAACAATGTTTATGACACTTGCATTTGACTCTCAATGCAATAATAATAATCATAATCAACCAAACTGAACTCTTTGAGTAATCTTGTTTATAAGATCTTGTGTATTAGAATTAATGTAAAAGAGATTAGGTCATGAATGCTTATCGATATAATGAAGAATAAAAGTACAAAAGTGACTTATTATAATAATACTAATCACATATCTATGAAGGTCATTCGACCATAGTGAATTTTTTCCTTTCCAGTGTTACATGACGTTGAAGTTGAGGTAATGTGAGAGGACCAGCAAAAATACTCGCAAAATTCGCCCGCTTTTTCCTCTTGAATCTTTACTTTCAAATTCGTTTTTGTTCTCACAAATATGAAGAATCATTAGAGTCAGATCCTAGTCCGAGTGTCATGAGGTACATTTATATATTATGTAAATTAAATGAAAATTCGTCTAGTTCAGTGGTTCCCAAACTTTTTCGGGCTGGCGCCCCCTTTGGCTCCCTAGTGAACTTCTAGCGCCTCCCACAGACACATATAAAAACATAGCCTCTTTCTTGAAATTTAGTACGCTGCATTTTTAATAGATAAATGTTAAAAACAAATGTGTATTTCACAAATAGAACCCCAATTAGTGAACCAATATGTTTTTAAGCTGAAGCTGTTTTAACTGTTTCAGCACTAGAAACCCAGGACGTCTCGGGCAAATTCACGGCCGGACTTGTAGCCGGTCTCACGACCAATCTCCAAATTCAATTATCAAGTAATATCTCCCAAACTAATGAACGCAGCTCTATGAAACTAGGAACATATATTTATCAGAACCTAACGTTGATTTTTAGCTGGTAAAAAATTTTAAATTTCACCTTCATTCGTGAGTTATATGGCGATAAAGGCCGAAATTCGCAGTGATCAAAGAATTTCTTCCAAACTACTGAACAGATTTGAACGAAATTTTGAATAAACATTCCTAACTACCAAGCTTTGATTTTTTTTTGGCTTTTAAAAATTTTCGATTTTACCTTTTAGTGTTGGTCAGATTTCAACGTTGATATGACGTTTAATTTTGGTTGTTCAACATTTCAACCTGAAATCAACCAATAATCAACGTTGTTTCAACGGCGGATGCCTGCTGGGTTTGTATTGGATTACAATAATCTGATATTGTAATCGCGCCCTATTGAATTTTTATATCACTTAGATTTGAAGATGATATAGCGGACAAATGACGGCCCCCATTGTCAATGCATTCAGTTAGTCGATTTTTTAAATTCCGTTCAACTCGCTGCAGCATATTGACGGGTATAATGGTGCTGGCTTGGCGTACGTTGTTCTTCGAATCAAGTAGGGTCCTTGGACAGTCATTAATTGTGAACAATTGATTTAAGATAACCCCTTAAAAAATAAATCACGCAGAACCAAATCGGTGATCGGGCAGCCGAAGAAGGCCACCTCTCAAGGAGACGAGACGCTCTGGAAAATGTAGCAATCGCGCCCTTTTCCTACCTCACGTAAAAAAAAACAAAGTTTCCGTGAAACACCCCGTACAACAAGCTTTATGTACTCAACAGATATTGATTTTAAGAGAGTGAAGGCAGGCGTCTAAGGACAGAGTAGCTGAAACAAGAAGCCTATTGACATTGGAAGCTATGGTGATTTTTCTTAATTATTTGAATCAGATCCAAGCTCTTGTTGAGAACAGTGTCAGCTTCATGTTTGTTGTTATGGAGGGGTTTATCAGTTCAGTTTCTCACCATGATATGGGCGGTGAACTCGTGAGAACGCACCGAGAAGATAACATCCACAACAATGTTTATGACACTTGCATTTGACTCTCAATGCAATAATAATAATCATAATCATGTATAACTCGCAAACGAAGGCAAAACGAAAAAATTGTAGCAAGCTAAACATCACCGTTGCTGAGGTTAGGTATTTAAATACTAAGTTTCGTTCAAATCCATTTAGTAGTTTTGGATTAATTTCTTGATTACTGCGAATTTAAGCACGTCTTGCTGTTTAAATCACGAATGAAGGTGAAATGAAAAAAAAAAACTTGCGAACAAAGGCACAATCGAATAAATTTTTAAGAGCTAAACATTAACGTTCGGTAGTTAGGACTGTAAATTCAAAATTTCGTTGTAATCTGCTCAATAGTTTGGAAAAAATTTCTTAATTACCCGGTACTGTGAATTTCCGCCCGTATTGCCATATAACTATGGCAAAAACAAATGAAGGCTAAATTAATAAAAAATTCACGAGCTTAACATTATCGTTAGGTCCCAATGAATACGTGTACCAAGGTTCATCAAGTTAAGTTCATTAGTTTGAGAGATATTACTTGAATATTGAATTGGAAATTGGCCGTGAGATCGGCCGCGAATCCGCCCGTTAATTTGTCCGAGACGTAAACCCAGTAGAGGTTAAAAACTGATCTGGGTGAAAAAAACCATCGCTGGGAGTCATATGTGCTGCACGTGTTGTGTACAAATTGTCAAACAAACGTTAGAACTTCTGACAGTGACCTCGGACTACCGCCCCCTATCGCCCCCCTACCGCCCTCTTCTTCCTTACCGCCCCGATATCGGCCAGTTTGGGAACTACTGGTCTAGTTATATTGAGGAATACACCGAAATTATTCATTTTCTCTCATTATTTCTCTATTTTTACATGAAAAAGTTTGTAAATAGATGTTATGAATGCGTTCCAGAGAGCGGTGATTAGCTTGGTTTTATATGGTAAAAAATGCACATTTGTATTCACAGACGCTTTTCTCACGGGTCTAAAATATTCAAGTCGAAAATTTTCAAAATACAAGTTAAAAGATTGCGCAAGGACATAATATTCCTAATTATACCAAGAAAACTAAAAAAGAACTTAACCTATTATAATTTTTTAGCAGATTCTTGC